ACAAAAATTATTTTTAAGTTTTAATTTTCACATATATAAAAGGCATTATGTATGGGTCAAGAATTCTGAATAGGGGTGGAGGAAAGCAGGAAAGAGTACTTTTCAGGGCTGGGTGTTTGCCTTGCACATGGCCAACCCAGGTTCCATCCCCAGTTTCCCATATGGTGCCCCGAGCCCACCTGGAGTGACTCTTGAGCACAGCCAGGTATGGCCCTCAACAAAAACAGTAACAAAAAAAGAATGTACTTTTCAGGGATAAGGCTTAGGTGTACAGCAGTTACAAGTGTGAGGCCCTGGGTTTGATTCCTGGTACCATCTTGTCCTGAGTACTGTCAAGAATTGTTCCCTCTGGGGATGGAGTGGGTAGAGCATTTGCCTTGCATGAGGCCAACCCGGGTTTGATTCCCAGCATCCCATATGGTCCCCTGAGCACTGCCAGGTGTTATTCCTGAGTGCAGAGCCAGGAGTAACTCTTGTGCATCGCCGGGTGTGACCCAAAAAGAAAAAAAAAATTATCACCTACACACTCCCTACCCAACAATAACTTTGGGTGTGAGTCCCCACCCACAAAAGCCTTTCAGGGATAAACATATTAAAATTTACAGGGGGCAACACTATTTTCAAAAAATTATTTTCTAAAACCTGTTTCTATTATTTCCTGTACTCTGAAAATCATGCTTCAGTTTGCCACTGAAGAGCATACTGAAAGTGTCCTCATAGTAAAAAAAATAATTCCAGGCCAGGGAAGATGATTCAAAGGGCTGGATGCATGCTTCTCACGGAGTATCACAAGGTCTTCCCAGTACCACCAGGAGCAACCCTGAGCACAAAGCCAGGAGTAGCCCAAATTATACTCCAAACTATACCTATGTGATCTGGGCTTGAAGCTGTCTTACATGACCCAGAAAAGGGATCTTTGTTAGCCATTCCTAGAGATCTTTTGTTTTGGTAGGGGACGTTTGTTGCCTTACCAACCATTGCTCAGGGGCTACTACTAGCAGTATTTAGGGGACCATCTGCAGTGCTAGTCAAACCAGGTTCAGTCACTTTAAAGAAAGACAGGCACTTTAACCCTTGAACTATCTCCTCAGCTCCCTTGTCCTGAAGATTTTAATCTAGGTTGTTGCTCTCATCAGAGAGGTTATATAATGTTGGGTAACCTGAACATTTATTAACATTGGATACTGTATCATAAAGTAATCTGTATCTGATCTTTGATAAAACATCACAGAGGGCTTGAGCGATAGCACAGCAGGTAGAGCATTTGCCTTGCATGCGGCCGACCCAGATTTGATTCCCAGCATCCCATATGGTCCCCTGAGCACTTCCAGGGGTAATTCCTGCGTGCAGAGCCAGGAGTAACCCCTGTGCATCTCCATGTGTGACCCAAAAAGCAAAAAAAAAAAAAAAAAAAAAAAAATCACAGAAATCTCAACCGTACAATGAAGAACTGTTATAACCTTCTCATTTTGAAGCTGTTAAGATGTGTTAAAATGACTTTTATAAGATCTGAGTGTTAAAAGTAGGTAAAGGGATATTCTTGATAACCTTTCATTATTAATATTTCAAACCACAATACCCAAAAGGGTGGGGGGAGAGGGGGAGAGAGTGTGAGCGCCTGCTGTAGAGACAGAGGGTAGGGGGTGATGGGAGAGAACGTGGAGACATTGGTACTGGGAAATAAAACACTGGTGGAGGGATGGGTGTTGGAACACTGCATGACTGAAATCTAATCATGAACAGCTTTGTAAGGGTCTATCTCACAGTGATTCAATAAAAAAGTAAAAAAAAAAATGACTTGTGTAAAAATACTTGAGTCTTCTAAATTCTAGCCTAATGCTTGGGGTTTTGTGGATTGCTTGTTTGTTTGTTTTTGGTTACACTCCTGGCAAGGCTCAGGGGACCATTTGGGGCTGGGGATCAAACCCAATCCAGGGGGCTGGAGCCACAGCACAGCCAGCACAGCAGGCAGGGCGTTTGCCTTGCATGCAGCTGACCTGGGTTGATTCCCAGCATCCCATATGGTCCCCTGAGGACTGCCAGGAGTGATTCCTGAGTGCAGAGACAGGAGTAACTCCTGAACATTGCCGGGTGTGACCCAAAAAGAAAAGAAAAACAACACACAATCCAGAGTTCCTTTCTACCTGTGAAGTATGTGTTCCAGCTCATAAGCTATTTCCCTGGACCCTAATCTAATACTCTTAACTACTTTAAAAAATGCTTCTTTCTCTACTATTCTGGGTTTTTAATCTTATCCAATATGCAGTGCTGATCACTACAACTTTAAAAAAAAAAGGAACAGTAAGGAATATGTTTCTTTTGGGGTGGGGGATCACATTGCATGCAAGGCAAGTGCCCTACCCGCTGCCCTCTGGCCTCAGGATTTTTTTTTTTAATGGTAGAGCACATGCTTTATGAAGCTCTGGGAAAGATTTCCAGGCCAGGAACAGAGAGGCAGTAAGATAGTACAGAGGATAAGGCACTTGCCTTGCATATGGTTGACCCAGGCTCAATTTCCCACACCCTATATGGTTCCCCAGGCCCATCAACAGTGATTCCTGTGCATAGAGCCAAGAGTAAGCTCTGAGCACAGAGGGGTGTGACCCCCCAAAAAAAATACGGGCAAAAATAAATTTAAAAATTTTCCAGACCAAAATCAATAAAATTTAAAAATAAATTCTTGGGGCTAGAGAGATTGAACAGTGGGTAGGACACTTACTTGCCTTGCACAAAGCCTGTTCTGGTTCGATCACTGGCATCCTGTTTGCTCCCCTGTGCACCACCAGGAGTAATTCCTGAGACAACAGGGCCAGAAGAAACCCCTGAGCAACACTGGGTATGACCCCAAAACAAAAACCAAACAAACAAAAGATAAATAATTTTTGGGAAAAAAAAGAAGTAAAACTACAAAAGTATCTAGGAAGAAATGAGATAATCATGGATTAAAGATATGTTGATTTATTCATTTAATGTCTAAACGTATTCCAAAAAAAGGCTTGCAAATATGCAAAGAATAAAAAAATTGAAACAGAAAAATGAAAAATAAAGGTAGAAAAGGAAAAGGAAACTTTCCATCAACATAGTCAGCACAAAAAAATATGTATCATGAAGTCCTAAACATTTGCTGGAGATGGGTCATAAATTGGACTTTAAGTAGTCTAACATGATTAAGAACAAGAAAAACACAGTTGATTATTTAGTGTTTTGGAGGTAAAAACCAAACAGCAATTCAGGAAAAAAAAGATCAGAAAAATATTCTTCCTACATATCCTTAAATTGAACATTATGAAATTATGAATTGTAGTGATGGGCTGGAACGATAGCACAGCAGTAGGGCGTTTGCCTTGCACGCAGCCAACATGGCTGACCCGAGTTCGATTCCTCCGCCCCTCTCGGAGAGCCCGGCAAGCTACCGAGAGTATCTCGCCCGCATGGCAGAGCCTGGCAAGCTCCCCGTGATGTATTCAATATGCCAAACACAGTAACAACAAAATCTCCAATGGAGATGTTACTGGGCCCGCTCGAGCAAATCGATGAACAACGGGAGGACAGTGACAGTGACAGTGAATTATAGTGATAAACATCCTTTGTAGTATCCATAACATCTAAGTTTTACAGGAATTTTTATAAGGACTTTGAAGTACAATCTAAGAATAAAATTTCTATAAAGCTAAATAAAATGCCATCTATGTATAAGGAAAATCTAACTTAATTCAAGAACAGAATGAATAAAAAGAACAGAATATACTTCCCAGACTCTCTTTGGCCTAGAGAGATTAGTGAGGACTCAAAACCATTAAAAACTAATAATAAACAAAGGATAATAAAAAATAAGTTTTTAAGAAGTTAAAGAAAAATGAAGAGACAAAGGCTAACCATGTATAAAAATTTATGGTCCAGATGATTCTCAACATTAAAGGCAAAGATTCTTCATATAAATCTCTCTAACCTTCAATCTTTTTTTTTTTTAATTTATTTATTTATTGAATCACTGTGGGAAAAGTTACAGAGCTTTCGGGTTTAGGTCTCAGTCATGTAAATATCAAACACATTTCCCTTTACCAATTCTAACCTTCAATCTTAAAGTTGATGTCACAACTCTAATCCCTTGGTTTTACCCACCAGAAACTAAATCCTGAGCTTTTTATTTATTTACTTGTTTATTTCTTGGGTTTTGGGCCACACCCAGCAATGCTCAAGGGTTACTCCTGGCAATATACTCAGGAATCACTCCTAGAGGTGCTCAGGGGACCATATGGGATTTCAAGGATTAAACCCAGGTCAGCTGCATACAAGAAACTCCCCTTCCTCCCCCGCTGTGCTATCACTCCAGCCCCAGTTCTGAGCTTTTTAGGAAAATGATAAGTTTAAGAATCACCATCGTTTGCTTGCTTTCCACCGGGTCAACCCAGGTTTGATCCCAGTTATCCTATATGGCCCCCAAGGACTGCTAGGAGTAATGCCTGAGTCTGGTGTGACCCTCCCCCCAAAAAAACAAAACAAACAAAAAAGAATCACTGTCTTCTGAAGAGGTTTTGTTTGGGGGAGAAAAAGGGGAGCTATTAATGACCACTAGAGTAAATAATTAACACACTAATGTTTCATTTCTTGTTCTCATTTTAGGCTATTGAATTCACTTAAATTTTTTTAAAAACTTTATTACATCTGCCTTTAACCCCCTGGATCATATATTTTTAACTACATGTATGGGGTTGAAATACCAGCTTTTAAGACTTCAAAATCCAAGGTTAGTAAACACAAATTAAACCTTGGGAACCTAAGATGTGTTACTATTGCTCAAGAAAAAAAAAAACTGGACAGACATAAGGAAAGACAAAGTGGAAGATGCCTTTGGAAGCTTCAGGGTATGAACTGGAGAGACAAAACAAAGGAAAAGGTGGCCACTCTGATATGAGATACTGAATTAAGAGGTAGGTTGTATGTTGAGGAATAAGCAGAGGGTTTACTGTGGCTGCCAGAAGTAGAAAGTCCAAGATTCAATGTCTAGAAGAACTATATGAGGCTACAGACTGAAAATAAACTGGTTCATCAAAATGACATCAAAGTGGTGAGAGCAAGTTGGCAGTGCAGAAGATCTTCAGGTTACCAGATGTTCCCCAGTATACAGTACAGGGGTCTCAAGCAGGACTCGGGTAGCCCAGGCAGGACTCAAAATCACAGTCAAAATCCTTGAAGAGCATGGGCTCCAATGGACTGAGTTGGGTAGCTTGTGTCTCCATGGCAAAGTTCACTGGCTGCTTCTGTAGGAGCTCTGGGTCAAAGGCCACACCCCGAAAGAAAGGGTGAAGCTGGAAATGATGCAGATAACGCAGACGGTGGAAGGGATTCTGGCTTAAGAGCTGAAGAAAAGGAGAGTATGAACAGTTAATGGATTAGGATAGGGGAAAAGGCTAAACAGAGAAGCTACAAGAGGAGGAAAAAAAAAGCTCCTGCAACTGTGGAGGACAGAAAGAATTCTACAGTTAAACATTAATTTATTTTAAAAAGGGAAGGGCTTGGGCTACTTTGAGAGCAAAAGTGGGAATAAAAGAATTGTAATAATAAGAGAGCAGTACTGGCCCCACTTTCTCAAAAGTGAACAGTTTTAGACAGAAGATTAATAGGACTAGGAACTTGGGAATAAAATCTGAAGTTTTAAAGGGCAAGTAAGAAGGTGGTACAGTTTATCAGGTTGGCGGGCCACCTACCCCTCCTGCAAAAAAACAAAACAAGCCAAAAAAACCAAAAACCTAGATGAGGGGCTGGAGCAATAGCACAGCGGGTAGGGCGTTTGCCTTGCACGCGGCAGACCTGGGTTTGATTCCCAGCGTCCCATATAGTCCCCTGAGCACCGCCAGGGGTAATTCCTGAGCGCAGAGTCAGGAGTATCCCCTGTGCATTGCCGGGTGTGACCTAAAAAGCAAAAAAAAAAAAAAAAAAAAAAACCCTAGATGAATAGGGAAATACAACTTCAATGATAGAGAAAGGAGAAAAGGAGAATGAGTTTTTTCGTCAGGAAGGAAAGCAGTGATAACCCTTACCTCATGGAGCAGGAGGGAGAGCCCCTGGTTAAGAGAATCTGGGATCACAGTGTCACAGCGGGTCACTCTTGCCAACATAGCCACATGGTCTCTCTCTGCAGCTACTGGAAACTGAGTTAAGAGGTGGGAGGGTGTCACTCCTTAATAGGAGTAAGGCAATATTTGCTTAGGTCTTCGTTCTTTCCACCACAAGGTGGTACAGTCACTACTATTCTCTCACCTTTCCAGTTGCCAGCGAGAAAAGCAAGACACCCAGGGACCACCAATCAGCAGCATGGTTGTAAGGCCCTCCACTCAAAACTTCTGGGGCTATGGATTTGAAAGATACTTGTCACAGACATCTACTGGCTATCCTCCTTCCCAATGCTCCCCACAGCTTTAGCTTCTCTCTCACCCATGTACTGAAGAGTACCACAGATAGTATAAGCTCGGGTTCCCCGGGGCAGATGGCGGGACAGACCAAAGTCTGTCAGTTTCAGATGGCCTATGAAAGATAAAGCAGCAACACCATTCCTCTATTCTGGCAGTCATAATTTATTCCCAAATTAAAGTACCTCTCATTCTGATTAGGAAAAGAAATGGACTTACCTCGTTCATCCAGAAGGATATTCTCCATCTGAAAAATTACGGGTGAGAAGTAATTTATTCAATTCTTTTCATTATGCGTACTTCCCAGTTGAAGAAGATGCCCTACTCTATGCTTGGAGGGTAGAAGCCCATATCCTTAAAACTAGTGGGCTTCAATGCTAATTGCTTTCAGTTCGCCTTTGTTTTACTGAACACGTTGAACTCCTTACTCAGTCCCCTATTCAGATAAAGCAAAAAAAGCACTAACTTTACCTTCACATCTCGGTGGATGATGCCCAAATCATGGAGATAGCCTGTGGATGACAGCAAGTAAGAGATGTGCTGAATTGCCAATTTCCCTGGTATCCACTATCCCATCCCCATCATTTTTTTAAATTTTTCTTTATTTTGGGGGGGGGTCACACCTGGTGATGCATAGGGGTTACTCCTGACTCATGCACGCAGGAATTACTCCTGGCAGTGCTTGGGGGGACCATATGGGATGCTGAGAATCGAACCCAGGTCGGCCATGTGCAAGGCAAATACCCTACCCACTGTACTATCGCTCCAGCCCCTCATTTTTTTTTTAATCTTCAGAGTTAACATCAATCTGTTGACCACCACTGTAATTCTTCCTTCCCTATTTCTATTACGAGTTTAACTTACACAGCACCAGGACCAGCTCAGCAGCAAAGAGGCGGATGGAAGCCTCAGCAAAGCAGCCAACAGCAGACCACAGGGAGTACAGATCCGTGCTGCAGTAGCTGCACACTGGAAGGCAACAGACGTCTGGGCAGTTTTTGAGGGTTACTAAGCTTGGGTTTGAGACATTGTAGCCTCCACCCAAACTGACACCACCTGTTGTTTTTTCTCCCAAGGAGAGAGAATGCTATGAGAAGGAGAACAGAGTAAAGGACAAACAATACAAATGGATAATTGCAGGAGGACATAGCACAAGAACCTTGGGAGTAAGAGGTCATCACTCACTAATGAAGAGGTGCTGTTTCCCCTGCCAGCTGTCCCCCAAACTGTGTACAAAAGGATGACTGATCTGGCGCTGGGGATAAAGGAAAAAGAAGTTCAGGAGGGTCAATGAGAATCAAAGGATTCAAGAAGTAAGGTTACCTATTTATGCAGAAATGAAACGGTTGCCCCACTTCTTAGCTCAAATGAACCCAATAATTGGAACTGCCTGCCTGATAATTCCAGAACTAGCATAGTACTAAGGAACTGGGACATACTGGAGAAATTTTCCTGGTAGGACCTAGAATAACTCCTAATTGTGACATTTCTCAAGTTCTACTTTGGTGTTAATTAGTTTGAGATGTAGCCCAGAGGTAGAGCACTTGTCTTCCATGTTTGAGACCCTGGGTTTAATCCCTGGCAGGCATTAATCACACAAAATTATAAATTTTTAATTATTTTTTTGTTGGGAGCACACCCAACAATGCTCAGGGCTTACTCCTGGCTCTGCACTCAAGTATTACTCCTGGCAGTGCTCAGGGATCATATGGGATACCGAGACCAAACCCGGGTGTCGGCCACATGCAAGGCAAGCTCCCTACCCATTGTACTATTGCTCCAGTGCCAAAATTATGTATTTTCAAAACTAGGTTGAAACAGAGGGGCAGAACCAGGTAGAGCTGAACAAGAAAGCTACCTTTCTCCACCTATAAATTAGCTCTTTCCAGGGTTCTGTACATACCTGAATGCTAACCTCCTCTTTGCACTGCCTCAGGATGTCCTTCTGTAGGACCTTTATCTTGGGCACCACCTATAAAGAGAGACAACTCCAAGAGGGGGGTAATACTGCTATTGTTTATTCTGTTCAATCTTCAAGCCTGGAAGTAGGAACTAGAAAATAAGTTTAGTCCCTACCTTCACTGCAAATAGTGTTTTCTGGCCACAATCTAGAACCTTGAGGACAGTTCCAAAGGAGCCTTTAGCCACAAGGCCTAAAATCTGGGTAGAAAAACAGAAAAAAAGGACTGAGTCTGGTTTGACTTTCTAGATTTCTCCGAGACTGAGACTCCTTCCAGGGATTCTGTTCACCTACCTTCAGCTGCTGCTGCCCCCTGTGGGGCCTAAAGGGAAACTCAGGCAGAAAGAGGTTGAACTGAGGCACTGGCCACTCTGGAAGAGGCTTCTCTTCGGGTGATGGGGATGGCTTCAAGGACTCCTGATGCAGACACTGATGCCTTTGTAGTACCCACAGTTCTTCCAGACCTGATCTGGTGGTTCCTATACCTGACCAGAGGCATCTCCAGCCTCTGATCAAAGGGCCCCGGATGTTGCCACCCTGCTGAGAACCAAGGAAGCCAGTCTCAATCTGCTTGAGGCATTCATTTCCACCCATCTTAGCAGGCACTCCCTCATGTGTGAAGCCTACCTAGAAACATACTTTTGAATACCAGAAAAATTGCCAATATTCTTACTTTGTATTAAGCTCTATATTTCCTGAATGCAATTCGTATCCTCTAGGATGGCACTGTCACTGTCCTCCCATTGTTCATCGATTTGCTTGAGTGGGCTCAGTAACGTCTCCATTGTGAGACTTGTTACTATGTTTGGCATATCAAATATGTCACGGGTAGCTTGCCAGGCTTTGCCGTGTGGGCTAGATACTCTCGGTAGCTTGCCGGGTTCTCTGAGAGGGGCAAAAGAATCGAACCTGGCTCGGCCAGGCCAGCTGCGTGCAAGGCAAACGCCCTACTGCTGTGCTATTGCTCCAGCCCCGAGGATGGCAATCACTGGATATTTTCTCAACACACCAGAAATACAGCCTGCATCCTACATACTATGGTATGGAGCTAGGATGTTTTTACATTATAGCTTTCCTGTCCTCCCTGTGTGTGGGACATCACTTGCTCCAGTTATTCCCCAGGCCTCAAACCCATGCCTCCTTCACCTCCCTAAATAGGTAAGAGAGCCCCACTGCCTACCTTATGACAAGTAGGTCCCTGGGCGTGTTGCCCCTGCCGACAATTCACTGCTCCCATCCCCAGCCTGTGCCTCCTCTCCTTCCGCTAAAACTGCTGTCCCAGTTACATAAGCAATTCCTCCCCCTGATGCTGCATTACACAAGCTCCACCTCTTTCTTGCTGTTCATGACTAGAGACTGAGTGATGCAACCAAACTTCATCCTAATGCTAAATCCTATCCCCGATTAAGGCTTACAGCCAAAACTAAAATGTGCAGAGATCTATCAGCATGGGGCGAGTGTCACTTAAGAGCCGGAAGTATCTGACACTGCTACGGGCAGAAGGGAAAAAGGTCACCCTCAGCAGAGTGAAAGCTCGAGGATGTGACTTGCTTGGGTTGATGAGAGGGAAGAATACTGAAGGCTGAAATCACGCACTCAACACAATAAAACAAGCATCAGCATCAAATTTAAAATATATTTTTCTCTTTAAATCATTTATCATTCTTCAAGGCATAACCCAGGGACACCCATGACCAGCCCTGGCAGTTATTGCCATCCTCCCAAATAAGCTTGGCAGACTGGGGAGGGGCTGATTTACCCCAGAACACTAATACCTCTTTCATACAAGGCAGTGGAATGAGGGATAAATCAACCCCCACCCCCACCCTCAGCTTTCTGGCACAGAAGGAGAGCAGTTACACTTAGAAATATATATGTGTATATATTTATATGTATGTATGTTTATAAAAATTTACCACACTTGATCGGGACTGTCTCCCCACCCTTTCAGCTAATTCCGCGAGAATTCGATCCCTAGCCCTGGGCCTGCTTCCTGGGTCTCACTCTCTTGGCGCCTCTCTGACCTTGGACCTGCTGATCAGTGTGAGGTAGAACTCAGCATTATTGTCCACCACGCTCTTCAGGGAACAGGTGAGGTGCTAAACAGCAATGCCTCTCTACAGGCACCTGTGGGCTCCAGACCCCCACACCCTACTGGATGAAGGGAAACGCCTCCCACCCCACAGTCCCTGGAGCATGAGCCAGAGTCAGATCCCGTGCAGCAGTTGCTCTTGCTGGATCATTTGCGCCTGCCGAAGATGGATTTCTTGCTCCGGTTCTTTTTGCCCACACTTAGACCAATGAGCAGCCGAGCTTTCTCCTCCTCTTCCTGTTGTTGCATGTTGAGATCTGATTTAGTTTCTAGTTTTCCCCGGACTTCAGTCCCTGTTGCAGGCTTCAACCTTAGCTTCTCTTTGATTACCTGATAGGTTAGAGTAAGAGAGAAGTCAAATATTAGTGAAAATATAGTGAGACAGGCAGAAGGAATCAGAATGAACCAAATCAATAACAATATTTATTTAATATTAAAGCAGAATGGGCCAATTTATAATGGGATATCTGTTTTCAAGAAGTGTACGGTCTAATTGGAGCCCATTCTAAACTTGAAGTCACGTCAACCCTCAGTTCCCTAAAAATAAATAGGAAATGTAATAAACAGTAAACATTGACAATCATCGCAGCAAAGTCAGAGATAAGGCAAGGCTAGAAGCTGCTCACTCCAGTCACCTTCTCCTTCGCAAGGTTCCTTGTTAATAAATCCTACAACTTAATGTGTCAGTGAGAGGAACTGCTTGCTAGTCTTTGTTAACCGAACAGCTATGAACTCTGGCAGGGTACCTGGGCAACCAAGGCTTTGCGACTGTCCCTTTTGACAGCCATGGCAAAGTCTAGCCATGTCCATGTGTTGTTGTGATACTCCAGACATGGGAGCACCAGGTTAAGGTCACCCCAGTCCACACTGTTCTTCTCGCCCTGTAAGAGAAGAACAAGGAGAGGGGTGAGGTTACTGCATGTTATTTTTAGTTTCAGTCAGTCTTAAGTCCAAGTCTAGTTAATACTCTCCTGCATCAGTAACTTAGATACTGATTTCCCCTCATGTCAGTCTGGTAAAGGTACTGACTTCAGAGGAGAACAAAGGAGCTAACTAATTTTTCACTCAACTGATCAGTTACATAAGCTGGACCCCTGAGTCTTTAATCGCTGATGATCTTATCTACTTAACTTCCCACCCATTCTAAAAAGTGCCAAGGAGGCACAGACCTTATAGCTGACGCACAGTGGAACCTGTGGAATCTTTATGTAGATGAAGGAGTTGTTCATGGCAGCTCGCTCTTTCATCTTGTCAATATCATCCACAGGGTGCTAGAAAAAGCAAAAAGAGTCTGAGCCCTGAAACCATCAGAAGAAACACTTAGGCCCTAAAACATCTCCCCCTCCTTTCTATCTCTAAAATAAAAGCCAAGAAAAATAGAAGAAATTCCCAGTCAGATCAAACAGGACTCTCCCATTTTTCTATAACTAGGGGCACATCTGTTACCTCTGGTGCTTTGCGAAATGACCTTCTGACCCCAGAACTCCGATTCAAGCCCTGTGTCACACCCTTCCCAGGGCCCAGTGGTGCTGCATCATCTGTTGCAATCAGCTGTCGAGGCTTCACCACTGGTATTCCTATGAAAAAGCAAGCACATCAGCTGTCATCCTCTTTCTCATGCTTCCGCTCTTTCATGGGGTGCTATCTCTTTTCTTCTGGAGCTGCACCACAAGAGTTCTCACCAGTAGTCACCAGTTTGGATTTATCTTCTTCATCACCAACCTCATCATCTTCTACACTTCGGCCAGGAAAGAAAAAGCCCATTATTCTATGGAAGAACTGGTGTGTCAGCTGGATGGTGAGAGGCACCACGTTTACCTAAAGAGGAAAAAAGCTGAAGAAGCAATTAAGCTCAGACATCATCCCTCAGCTTACCTACTCCTAATATAGCATAGTATAATACACATAACTTATCACTGGCCTTTCTTAGTGGTCCCCCACAAAGGACTGTTTACTGGGGCTGGAGCAATATAGCACAGCGGGGAGGGCGTTTGCCTTGCACGCGGCCAACCTAGATTCCATTCCCAGCATCCCACATGGTCCCCCGTACACAGCCAGGAGTCATTCCTGAGTGCATGAGCCAGGAGTAACCCCTGTGTATCACCGGGTGTGACCAAAAAAAGAAAAAAAAAAAAAAGAAAAGAAAAAAAGCCAAGGACTGTTTACTAACCTCAAAGTGCTCCTTCACAGAGATACCCCCAACTGGGGGTCGGACTTTGCTGAAGAGGCGCAATGCTAGCTGCCGCCCAGACTGACAGGAGCTCTGTGGCCGTAGGACTACCTATAGGATAGAGAATGATCAATCAACCAAAAATGCTTCTGCGGACCAAGAGAAGCAATGGTCCTGCTAAGCTGAGAAAGTTTTCACAATCTCAGACGACCACAGTGCTCCCCACAGTTGGTTCTGTGGTAGGGCTATTACGAATGCCGTGTTGGGCTGGAGAGAGAGTATAGCTGGTAAGATGCTTGTCTTGCACACAACGGACAAAGGTTTGAACCCCTAGCATCACATATGGTCCCCTGAGCACTGCAAGGAGTGATTCCTGAGCATAGGTCCCACCCTCAAAAAGTACCCGGTACTTAGAAGAATATGAATAGGCTAGGAAATTGGAAGACTTGCCTTATACACTGCATTAGGAAGGAGATTGTTCATAGTGAACCAGCCCAATTCCAGGAGGTGTTCTGCTGTGTCATCAGACTTATTCACCTATAAAAACACCCACCCCCACCATCATCCAGTAAGTCTTTGTCAAGAGTTTGTCAGAGAATTAATATAGACTCAATTGTTTCAGTTTCTCCATATGTCTAATCCCAACCTCTGGTATCTCTTTCAATTGAAAGTCAATGCACACGATGATTCAATGTTTCTTTCAAGTACTACTGGCCAGTATGACGTATTTCCAAGTCAGTGTGACATTCAAAAGCTAATTTTCAGATGTTCAGGGCATGGAGGGTAATGGAGTAGGGATTAATAATGTCTTCTCCATGCCAAGGATAACTATAGAAAAGCCGAATTGTTAGTACAGAATTAATACAAGATGAGCTTGGAACATTGCTTCCTCTGGACAATGTTTCTAGGGCTAATACTATTCAATAAGGGATGCATCTGTCAATTTTGTGTGTGTGTGTGTGTGTATTTGCATATATATATGTGTATTTATTTTTTATATATTTTTTGTATTTTTTAATACAAATTTGTGTTCAAGAGGACCTATGCTTATGATTCTATCATTGTTAATAATCATATAACAGCCAGGGACATGGCTCAGTAGTAGAATGTATACCTCACAAGTATGAGGCTCTGGGTTAAAAAAATCAATAATCTGGGGCCAGAGCAATAGGATAGCAGGTAGGGTGTTGGTTCTGCATGCAACCAACTCGGGTTTGATCTCTGGCCATCACTTATGGTGCTCTGAACCTGCCAGGAGTGGTTCCTGATTCAGAGCCAGAAGTAAGCCCTAAGTAGTATCGAGTGTGGCTGAAAAAAAAATCAATATTTTTGTCCCCCTTTTTTAGTAAGACTACTGAGATAGCCAAATCTCTCTATACACCTGGCTTTGTGTGACTAGATATATCCAGTACCTTGCTATAGAGGAATCGCTGCAGCTCCAGCTCAGCAATTCCGAGCTGTCCATCTTCCTCTGTCAGGCGCCACCGTGCTTGAGCAAAATAGAATTCAGTGCGACGAACCACACTGACATCTTCTTGTTGCTTTCGCAATTCCATCTTATTGGCCTGCTGCAGCTGAAAATCCTTAAAACACCTATAAATGGATAAGAGCATCAAAATCAACAAGGGCAACAGCATTCAGCTTGAACTGAGACAGGAAGCTCTTCAATGATGCAGGAATTAAACCTAGAGATGGCCCTATTCTGAAACAGAAATAATTATTTCCTCAAATTTTTTAACTTTTTGGGTCACACCCAGCGATGCACAGGGGTTACTCCTGGCTCATGCACTCAGGAATTACTGCTGGTGGTGCTAGGGGACCATATGGGATGCTGGAAATTGAACGATCGCGTGCAAGGCAAATGCCCTACCCGCTGTACTCCAGCCCCTCAAAATTTTTTAATGACTCCAAGCAAATCCTCTATTTGTATTATACGTATTGGGGTCTGGGGGGGCATTGAGGGGGAATTGTAGGAGCAGTAATCGTACTCAGGACCTCATATATAAGTCAGTGGTTTACCACTGAGCTACAAGCCTAGCCCCTATTTATCTTCTTGAAAAAGAAGTTTCTTTCCACTGAGAGCACCTAGATTACATCAGTAGTTGCATTCCTTGCTGATCCACTTCAAGAGAGTTTATTTTCAGTTCATCTATACAGCATCAAGATCACAAAAGTGATATTCCCAACTACCTGTTTTTCTCCTTTCCCTTGTACTCTATGGAAGAGCCAAAGGAAGGACCCTCCTATTGTCAATTTTTTTTTCCCCTTTGGTTTTTGGGCCACATCTTGCAAGGCTCAGGGGTTATTCCTGGCTCTGCATGTCGAATTACTCTTGGCGGTACTTGGGGGTCCATATGGGATGCTGGGGATCGAACCTGGGTTGGCTGCCTGCATAACAAACATCCTACACATTGTACTATCTCTCTAGCCCCAATTTCTTGGCTAAATTCATCAGGACTCATTCAGAAAGGAATGCTCTGATCTGCTAGACCAGCAGCCTTTGATAATGCACACTAGACCTAAAAACTCTTAAGTGAACAAACAAAATCACCCCCCAGTTCCATTTGCACACAAGGTACTACTGCCCCTTCATCACCATCATTCCTGTGCCCCTGGTGAGTGTGTGGTGTGGGGGTTTGAGGGTGATCTCACCCACTTTGGTAAACATCACACTATAAAAACACAAGCAAGAAATGGAAATCAACTCCAGCTGGGAAGTGAGAAAAGAACAGGGGAAGAATGCGGGGGCACCTGATGAGGATATTAAGCTCTTCACTTTCCAACTGTAGGTTAGCCTTCTCTTGGTTTAGCTGCAGCTGAAGCTTTTGGTTCAGGTCAAGCAGGTTCTCGTTCTTACTGTCATCCTGCAAAGACTACAAAGCCAAGACAAGAGAAATTGCAGAGATCTCCCTTTTGTAGATTTCCCTGTCTGAGGACTACTTGGGTAACTAAATACCTTCATAATAGAATACATCTGCTTTTCCAGCTGCCGTATCTGAGCCACATGCTGTCGCACAGCCTCCTGCAAGTGTAATATGCTGCTGCGTTGCTCCTCAGGATTGCTAGAGATCTCCAACTGGAACCTAACCCGCTGCTTCTTCTCACTGTGCTCCTAAAGGAGTGCAGAAAGAAATGAATGACACTTTTTAACCAAGGTGGCTTATAGTAAAGTAAAAAACAAGCGGGATCTCAAAAAAGACAAAAAGGAAGAAAGGAGATCTCATTTGGAAGGTCCATCCTTATTTTGTCAATTTTATTCATTTATTTATTTATTTTGTTTTAGTTTTTGGTTTTTGGGACAGCCCCACTGATACTCCTGGCTCTGCAACAGGAATTATTTCTGGTAGTGCTTGAGTTACTATACAGGATGCTGGGGCTCGAACCTGGATCAGCCACATGCAAGGCAAGTGCCCTACCCACTATACTATGACGCAAGCCCCTTATTTGTTACCTTTAGTAAGAAGAATAAGGGTATACCAATGCAGAAGATTTGGCATTGTGGATTTCACCAAAGGTAGCAGGTGGGTGACATTACTATTTTTTTTTTACTGTACTTAAACATCCTGATTTACAAATTTGCTCATAATACAGCTGATTCAGGCATTCAATGTTCCAACACCAATCCCACCATCAGTGTGACCTTCCCTCCACAACTGTTCCCAGTTTCCCAGCTATTCCCAAGCCTGCCCCTTAGGCAGGCACAAAATTGTGTAGTTTTTATTGCTTGTTACAACATGCACTAAAAAATAACTCTTATATTAATAAATCCCCTTATTGTGGGGGTTGTTGCTTAGATGTATGGAATGGCACATGCATGCTGGCTCTGAGGTTACACAGGTGCTGGCTCTCTGAGGTAACATTACTATTTTAAAGCACATTTATAACTGAGTCTCTAGAACTAACCAATGGGGGGAAAAATAATGAAGGCTCGGAAAAAGGGCTAGAAGTACTGGAATACATGCTTTGCATGGCAGGAGCCTCAGGTTCTATCCCCTGGACTGCCAGGAGGCCCCAATATAGCCAGGAGTGATAATCACAACCACCAATGCCAGGAATAGTCCCCATATGCCACCTCCACACCTCCAAAGAAGTAAAACAAAAACAACCAAGGAAAGAAGTGCTACGCTTTCAAAAACACTCAGAACTTTCCTAGGTAAGCAAAATTTCACTCCACTACTTACAGAGGCTGTACAAAAAGCATGACTACTCTTACCATACCGTAAATAAAACCTAAGGTCTGAAGTTTCCCGTGAAGCTAACTGGGATCCATAAAGGGTCATGCTCACCTTCCGTTTGGGTTCTACATGGAGCAGTAGGTTGTTGACAATATCCAGGATCATGGCATACTGAGCTGGGTTGGTGGAGATTTCTAGTTCATGGTGGATGAGGGTGAAGGTATCTACAGCTCCTGTAAATTATAAGCAGCAAAATTGTTGCCAGCATTTCAAATTTCACCTTAAATATTTCAGCTCATCTCCTAACTCATATTTGGGATCACTCCCATTAGTACACACCAGAAAAGGGCTTGGTGAGAGAGTCTTATAATTAGAAACATGTTTGCTCACTTCCAAATCAAACAATACTTATTTATTCCAATTCTCTCCCAGTTACCCTCTCATACTGGAACTCAGAAAACGTAGGGCAGGAGAGACAGTACAGTGAGTAAGGCTCTTGCCTTGCATGCAACCACCCAGATTTGATCTCCGGCATCCCATATGGCCCCTTGAGTATTGCCAGAAGTAATCCCTGAGTGCTCCAGAACCAGGAGTAGGCCCTGAGCACCTCTGGGGTGTGGCCCAGATTTAAAAGACAAGAACAAAAAAAACAGGGGCAGGAGAGATAGTGTAGTGGATAGAGTATTTCCCTGCATGTGGCAGACCCAGGTTCAATCTTTGGCATTCCCATATGGTCCCCCAAGCCCCACCAGGAGTGATCCTTGAGCACAGAGCCAGGAGTATGCTCTGAACATTGCCAGGTGTACCCAATAAGCAAAAAGAAACAGAACCTACAAAATCTAAACTGAAATGTTAATGCCCAGGGTGCAGTGCAACTTTCAATAACACTTCTAACTCAAATACATCAAGAAAATAACTACTTTCACAAGTTCCCAATCCCCCACTTAACATCCTTTCAGGTCTTGGGCGGGAGCAATAGTACAGTGGGTAGGGTGTTCGCCTTGCACATGGCTGACCCTGGTGGTTGACCCGGGTTTGATCACTGGCATCCCATATGGTCCCCCGAGCAACACCAAGAGTAATTCCTGAGTGCAGAGCCAGGAGCAAATTCTGAGCAACACCGAGTGTGATCCAAAAGCCACACACACAAAAAAATCCTTTCAGGTCTTAAATACCTTCCTGCTTCTTTAGGAGATCTTCCTTTTCCTGGTTCTCATGAACTTCAGGTGGCTTAATCTGAGTTGCCAGCTCAGGATCAACATCATGGCTGTAACTAATATAGTACATTCGGCAGTTGCAGCGTGAAATGATCCGCTGAACTTGTGCTTCAGCTGGCTGATTCCAGTCTGGGAGGAGGTTAGAAAGAGATAAGAGAAAGACATTCTCAACCAAGGTACTGCTGAGAGTCTACCAACTATGAATGATGTCTAGAGAACTCCAAACCTTTTTAAACTTGCCTAAAATGAAATAAATCTACTACAGCTTTTATTCAGAAGTAAGGCATGGGCCAGAGATATAGTTCAAGGGGTCAGAGTGTTGGAGCTGGTCATAGTACAGTGGGTAGGGTGTTTGCCTTGCACACAGCAAACCCAGCTTCAATTCCTATCACCCAATATGGCCCCCTGAACCTATCAGGCGTGTCCCTGAGTTTAGAGCCAGGAGTGAGTCCTGAGCACCACTATGTGTGCCCTGAAAACAAAACAAAACAAAACAAAAACAACAAAAAAAACACAGATCCATGAAGCTTGGGTTTGATCCCTGGCACCTTTGGTCCCCCAAGCAGTGCTGGAGTCAACCCTTGAGCAATGAGCCAAGAGTAGCCCCTGCCAGGTATACACCCCCCAGCCAAAAAAAAAAAAAAATATATATATATATATGGGGACTAGGGAGATAGCTCAAAGGCTAATGTACAAGCTCCGTATGCAGGAGTTCAGGGTTTGATCCCTTACATCAAGTTGTGAGTAGCCTATACCCTCACCCCAGCACTGCCAGATGTAGCCCCCCCAAATAAAATAGAGAGTACATAAGGAGATGCCTTTGGAATTCCCAGCTACCTGATAGGAAAGAGAGAGCTGACCTGTGGTAGTGGCAACCATGCCTCCCACTGCTTGCCCACTCTCCATCAGCTCCTGCACTGAGTCCAGACTACGCTGACGGTGCTCCTCAATATTCTTCACCTGTGGGCCAGAGCAATGGTACAGTGGGTAGAGCACTTGCCTTGCACGTGACCAATCCAGGTTCAATACCTAGCATCCCATACAGTCCCTCAAGTAACGGCAGGAGTAACTCCCAAATGCAGAGCCAGGAATAACCTCTGAACACCACCATAAATAAAAACCATAAATAAATAAATAAATAAATGTTTTCCCATTTCATCCGAAGATAGAGAAACAAACTCCTTTAGCTCTGGGACAGAGGAATTTCTCATGGCTATCTGGGTCACAATCTCCATGATGTAAGTAGTTACAATTTGCTATCTAAAGTTCTATTACCTGGAATAGCCTGAAAGATCTTCCAGAGTAGAGAACATTTATGTCTCTTTCTCCTGGCCTCAAGCACTTAAATTTCCTTAGTACCATGTCTGGTTTCCCAAGCACTGCCAAGGGTCACTCTTAAGCAGAGCCAGGAACAGTCTCTAGCACCACCAGATGTAATTCCCCAAACCAAAAAAATTATTCTTCACTTATTGCTAAGTTTTTCTGGCTGCCTGATGGTTATTATAATCCTGGTGTTGTTATTAAGAGGTGGTGTTAGTGACTGGAGCGATAGTACAGCAGGTAGGGTGTTTGCCTTGCAAGTGGCCTGGTTCAATCCCTAGCATGGTCCACCAGCACCGCCAGGAGTAATTCCTGAGTGCAGAGCCAGAAGTAAGCCCTGAGCATTGCTGGGTGTGATGCAAAAAACAAAAACAAACAAATAAAAATAGAGGTGGTGTTATTAAGAGGGCTCTCTTTCAAAAGTAAAAAACAAACAAACAAACAAACAAACAAACAAGCCATGTTATTACAATACTGGGAAAAGAGAATTTCCCTTGAAATGAAAAAGAATAGTATGAGATTTAAACAAATAAAATAATGGTGTGTGCTGAGAGTGTAGCCTGCTGACAATACCTACAATACAAAGTTATTAGCTTCATTATTCTATTATGTGCAGAATAATGTCAAGAGTCTTGCAGCTATTCTGGTAGAAGTCACGTAGGAAAAACTGGGGATGATATAGGAACTTTCCAGCCCTGCTCACAAACCTCTAACCAGAGCTGTCGACCATCCTGCTCAGTGGGACTGCTTTCAGTAGTGGCAAAGTACTGCATCCCATCCAATAGGCAAGTCCAGGATGTCTTCTGCTTCAATGTGTCACTATACCAGGCTGGATGGTGTTGGCACTGCAGCAACTGGGCTTTGGCAGCTGACACAATGACACAGCCTTCTGTTTCTGCTCCACGAAGGACCATCTATGACAGGAAAAAAGAATTACAGTATCAGGGGCACTAAGGAAGATGTGAATGAAGGTGAGAGGACTGAACCAATAACTGCAGCTATTTCTAATATGAACTCCACTGGCTGTTTTATTCATTTATTTTTTTTTTAAAAAGCAGCTTTTTAAACATGAAAGTGAGTGGCTGGACTGATAGTACAGTGGGTAAGGCGTTTGTCTTGCATACAGCCAACCTGGTTTCAATATCTGGCACCACACATGGTCCTCCAAGTCCCATTAGGAGTGATCCGAGTGCAGAGCCAAGAGTAAGCCCTGAGTACCACCAGATGTGGCCCCAAAACATAGAAATGATTACCCATGATAGCTACTGTAATTAAAGTTTTTTTGGAGGGGTTGCTTTCAGCAACACCCACAGTGCCCTGGAGTTACTCCTGGCTCTGTGTTCAGGGGACCATACGTGGTGCTGGGGATCAAATTGGAGATGGAGATGGCCAGCCATGCAAGGCAAGCGTATAATTAACCCCTGTATCTTAAACCCCATCTGCTCCTGCAATTTTTCTTTTCTCTCTCTCCTCTCTCCCCTCCCTTCCTCTCCCTCACTGAGCCAGGCACAGTGCTCACTGTTCACTACTGACTCTCCTGGCAGGGTATGGGGATCATATGGGGTTTCAGGGATCAAACCCGCATTAGCAGCATGTAAGGCAAGCAACCCAACCACTGTTCTATCATTTTGGCCCCTCATGCAGTTAATTTTCTTTCAGTTCTTTTCAACCTTTCTTTCTACAGGTGGAAGAAAAGCAACAAATACAATCATAATCTAGCCCAACACTGGGGTGCTCTAGTAAAGAGAAGGTACCTGGCAGTTGACCAGCTCGATAAGGCAGTTTCGGTTATATATATCATCCGTCTGGCAGGCAGCAATGCCACACAGCTGGTCACTTACACCTGATTCTTCTTCTGTGAACACTACAAACCTGTCTGTCTCTTCAATCAACTTCTGCAGCATGTATGCACCTAGCAGAAAAACAGAAAGTGAAGAAAAGCCACGGTCTCAAATGTACATCCAAGTCCAAGGGAGCCTACTTAAATTTCTTTGTAAACGTAAAACTAGAATACATTTCCCCCAATCTTCAAGTCTAGCCCATTCCATACCACTACCCCTGGAGTAAAAATAGGGTTGCTTTTTATATTTTCCCCCTCATTTTGAATAAGACTAACTTTACCAAAGATAACTTAGAAATGCACTTTAATATTGTTTTCCTCTTATGTATAACCACTTATGGATTATTTAGGTTTTCAAGTTCTTTTTATCTCTGCTTCTTTCATCTGTTTTTTTTTTAAATTAAAAAAAATTTTTGTTTTGTTTTTGGACTATACCCAGTGATATGCAGGGGTTACTCCTGGCTCTGCACTAGTAGTTACCCTGGTGGTGTTTGGAGACCATATATGATGTCAGGGATCGAAATCAAGTACACAGTGCAGGGCAAAAGCCCTACCTACTACTGTACTATCACTCTAGCCTCCTTATTTCATATTACTTTAAATGTTATTTATTTGTTGACCACTCTATATATGAAATTACCCGCTTGCCACCAGAGCCATCTGGAAAAAAGGAAGAAGACTTTCTCCCAGATCATAAAAACAAATTATTTCCTAAGATTTATTCTTGGCAGTCTCTCTTCTCCTTTGACTCTTTCTGCTATCTCCAGAAACAAGACTAATCAGCCACTGTTCAAGATTCTATCTCTTGTCAGTTATTTGATTGTGACCTTTAGCATTTTGCTTTAATCTGTATTTCAGTTTCCTTGTTCTTAAAAGAACAGTAACTATTTCATGAAGCTGCTGAAAGAATTCAATGAGATAATATGCATCAAATTATTTCACAGAATGCCTGCCACATAGTAAGAAACTTATTATATACTTGGCATTAGTTCTTAGCTATACATTGAAACTCCTAAATCTTTATCTCTAGTCCTGTAATTTTTGTTTGGTTTTGTTTTTTGGGACACACCCAGCAGTGCTCAGGGCTTACTCCTGACTCTGCGCTCAGGGATCACTCCTGGCAGGTCTCAGGGGACCATACGTAGTGTCGGGGATCAAACCCAAATGGCCAAATAAAATGCAAGCGCTGAAATGCAAGTGTCCTACCCACCGTACTATCTCTCCGGCCCTAGTCCTGCATTTTTAGATCCTCATGTCCAGTTGTTTGTTATACAGATGGGTATCACTTGCATGTCCAATCTGAACTCAATAGTTCTACACTTCCCCAAACCTGTTTATCCTCTTGGTTTCCTCTTTCTGGTATTACTGCTAAACCATTACACCAGCACCAGATACAAAGTCTGAGTCACTATCACTCTCAGTGTCTTGACTCCTCCCAACCACTTGCCAAACTTTCATATGTTACTAGCTATCCCCTAATCTCCATTCCCACTGTCTCTAGTTCACTCCTTCCTTGCCTCTGTTGACACCATAATAGCTTCCTAATTTGTCTCCCACCTCCGGTTTCTTTCTCTCCAGTCCTCCTACACATCTCTGCCAGATTTACCATCCTAAAAGCAAAACTTTAATGATGACACCCTCCAATTAAAACACCTTCAGTAGCTCACCATTATATATTAAATAAGAACCAAAAAGGAAATCAAACCATTTAACACAATATAATAAAATGCCTATTCTCATTGAAATAAGCAAGTTTTCAACTTTGGAATCCAAAGTATGTTGCATTAAATTTTGGTTTGTACTTGGATCTCATTATAATAATCATGTCTTACCTATCATTAATAAAAATTAAAAATAAATAAGAAACCAAAACTTTTTAGCCTTATGACGCATTCAATGATAGGCCTCCAGCTTTTTACCCCAGCAACTTTGTCTCCTTTACTCTCTGTGTCAATGGGAACAGCCTATTCACTAACCTTTGAACATACTGACCCTACCAAATCCATTCCTATACAGGTGTTCCCTCTGCCTTGAATACTCTTCTTACCCATTTCAAATATTTGAACCATACTAAGCCTTCACGGTCCAATTCAAATGCTACTTCCTCAATAAACTCTTCTTTAATTACAATCACTCTTCACTTCAATAGAAGATCTGCTTTAATAACTCTTGTGACATTTATCACTTTTCACTTTATTTTCAAACTCACATTAGGTTTCATTTCTCTATACTTATTCTTTCTCCTTAAAATGCCCTCTTCTATCCTTGCCTGTTTATTTATTCATCTTTTAAGACCCATGTCAAAAAAAAAAAAAGAAAAAAATCTCAATGAACTTCTCTGTGAAGCCTTCTTAGACATACCTACTCTGATTCAGTTTCTTTTAAAACATTCTTACAAAGGGGCTGAAGCAATAGTGCAGTAGGGTGTTTGCCCTGCACGTGACAGATCAGGGTTCATTCCGTGGCATCCCATATGGTCCCCCAAGCACTGCAAGGAGCAATTCCTAAGTGCAGAGTCAGAAGTAACCCCTGAGCACTGCAGGGTGTAGACCCCAAAACAAAACAAAAATCGAACCAAAAAAAATTTTTTTAGAACAAAGTAACAATCTATCTGTCTACTTTCTAGTTTCAGAATTTCTCCACAGTTTTGTACACCTGAAGCCTAGGACCAAAGTACATTATAAACTCTCAATAAAGCCAAAGTAAATCTGTTAATGAAGAACTGTGTGAGTCGCCTAGTTCTTCAAGAGATGATAAACTTGTTGAGTCAAGCAGAATGTCACACATTTTTTTATTATCTCTCACTGAAGAGTGCTTGTGTCTGTTAAAGTACTCAATAAGTATTTGTTGGTTAAAAAACTTGATTCATCAAAATATAAAACAACGACATCATGGGGCTGGAGCAATAGCACAGTGGGTAGGGCGTTTGCCTTGCACGAGGCCGACCCGGGTTCAATTTCCAGTTCAATTTTCAGTAGATGCTGGAAATTGTGCATAGCCAGGTGTGACCCAAAAAGCAAAAAAAACAAACAAACAAAAAAACATCATCCTTGGCATCTTTCCCCGTTCATTCTCTTATGGTTCCATTACTCCTTCCTGATCCTCTTTTCCTCGCCACAAAATCAAATCCTCTAATGTCCCTATATCATTGCTGTTAAGATGAAGGAAGCCTAATTTGAACAAATAATAATTTCACCTTTTTCCCTAGATGGAAACTGCCATGATTTAGACCTTCTCAAATTCCTATCCAAACCTATAACCATATTCTCTATTTTACCCCCATGGAGTCTCTAGCTTACCTCCTGATGACCCCTTATCAGGCCGACCACTTAAGCTGGGAGTGCTGGCGGGAGGTGGGGCAGGGGCACTGGCCGGGACACTCTGCTTTGGCTTTTTGGCTGGCATCTGGGGATCAATCTTTAATCCCTTCAGGGCTTCAGTAGAAAGATTACGCTTGAGTACAGCTGCTTTCTTGTAGCCATCATATAAACCAAAGGCAATGTCCCGGTTGGTGGTTGTCCAGGAAGCCCTTAAATCTACTAAGTGAAGCTGGTGCGTATGAAAGGCAGGATCTCCAACTCGAGTAGAGAGATCCTAAGAAACAGAAAGAGAACTTCAGGGTAGACGCCAGAAAATATTTTAAAGGACTAGAGGGCATGTCTTGCATGCAAGAACCTCAACATTGATCCTCAGGACTATATGGCCCCCAAGCACTGTTGGGCGTAATCTCTGAGGACTGAGGCTGCAGTAGCCCCCAACCACTGCCAGGTTTGACATGGAAATTTCCATCACTCTGCCTTGACCACAAGTGCAGAGAGAAGGAAACAGTCTGAGTAAGAAGCTTATGCTGAAGAAAACCCTAGAAAAAAAATTAAGAGGTCATAACATGTATTAATGACTATACCAACCATATTTTAACTCAGATTTTACCTTGGAATTTTCACTAGGTGAAGAATCTGGCTTAAGAGGTTTGCATGTGAAAAGCTCTGAGTTAAAGCTGGGGCTGGAGCAATAGCCCAGCAGGTAGGGCGTTTCCCTTAGATGCAGCCGACTTGGGTTCGATTCCCAGCATCTCATATGGTCCCCCAAGCACTGCCAGGAGTGATTCCTGAGTGCAGAGCCAGGAGTAACCCCTGAGCATCGCCGGGTGTGACCCAAAAAAAGCAAAAAAAAAAAAAAAAAAAAACCAGAAAAACAAAACCCTCAGTACTGCATGGCTCTGAACACCATTTGGTGTTCACTGAAGCACAAGATATCGCCCTTCTCCTGAACTGCAAGATGTGCTCCCCCACCCACACCATGGAGACATAGACACACATAGCGCACATACACACACACACACACACACACATACAGCTAGACACATACATAGCTAGACAGAGACAAACATACACAGACAAACACATATACACTTTTATTTCCTATAGGGCAAGAAACTACCTTGCAGGAGAGGAATAAAAGGTGGGATGCTGGTACAACTGATAATGTAAACACAGCAGAAAAGTAATGACATTTATGTATAGAATATAATTAGTAATATACCACGGACTTAATCTGAAATCTTAAAAAACTTCTGTTCTGAATTGCATCCCCCAAATCCCTATGTGGAAGCTATAATTCCCAGTGTGATGACTTTTAGACATGGAGGTCTTTAAGACATGATCAGGTTCAGGGGCTGCGGAGATACAATAGTAGGTAGGGCACTTGCCTTGCAGGCAGCTGACCCCAGGTTCGATCACCACCACCCCACATAGTCCCCCGATCCTTGCCATAGAACCTGTTTTGTGATCCTTGAGCACACAGCCAGGAAGCCCCAAGCACAGTGGGCTGGCTCAAAAACAAATACAAAAGACGTGATCAAGTTTCGATGATGTCATGAGATCATGCAACTAGTGTGCTTGTTCTCTCTTTTTCCTGCATGTGAAGACACAGAGAAGGTAGCCACACACAAGCAAAAAAAAGAGCCTTTTCCAGAACCTGAACATCTGACACCTTGATTTTGGATTTCCCAGCCCCCAGAACTGTGAGAAATCAACTTTTCTTGGTTTAAACTATCTGGTCTATGGTATTTTGATATGACAGTCCAAGGAAACTAAATACCTAATGATAAAAATATAGTAATAAAGAGACTGTCGGTACCTCTTCAGCTGTGCGATTGCTATGCCGTTGGTAGGTGAGGGAGGACAGGCTCAGTAGGTGGGTCTTTGTTATCAAGGGATCAAGACAGTGATCAGCGTTCTCTTCGGTAGGTGAGGCCATCAGGTGGACAGTCACCTCACTTAGGTCACTAACCATCTGCGTTATACTCCAGTCAGAGATGAGGCGCCGCATCACTGTGCCTGCTGAAAAGTGGAAACATGCAGAGCGCAGTGAAGACCTGTATTGAACAGTGTGGGACCAAACGAGGAAGAGAAGGGAAGTGAGAAAAGAAAGGAGAACGAGGATGAGGGTAGAAGGAAAGAGGTTAGACCTCACCTTGAGGTATAAGCCGCTGAGTTCCCCGAGTGAAGACATGCCCCTGACTGCACTCAATCTGGATGCCCCGTTGCTGAGCAAATGAGGCCCAATAATGCACCTGGTTAGAGAGTATAACACTGGATTAAGTAGAGCTTGAGAGAGAAGACTGAGACACCTGATAAGAGAAAACCACGACAAAATTAGGGAAGGGAAACAGAACTGACAGGATCAGCAGGGACACCAAAGTCTGACCTGTAGCTGCGGAAAGAGTGCAGTATAGGAAAGCTGCTTGTAGTGTTGGCCAAGTTTCTTCTTACTAGGCTTCAGATTATTGAAGAGTTTTCCCCTGCAGATAGGTCTAGTGACGCTAGTCCAAGTAGCCCAGAAGTTCTGCATCCAGCGCAACGTACTACTATACAGCAGAATTCGGGGCTGGGATATTGCTGCCAAAGAAAGGATTGATATCCCTCACTATGGTTAAAACACAGAGATAAAATAAAATCTTTCCCTAGCTTCAGGGACTTAAAAACCCAAACAGGGGACTAAGCCCTTACACTCAATATAACCTTATGTCATGTCCTGTCAAAGATCCAAGCTCTTTTCTTTCAACAATCCACTCACCCCAAAGGTACTAACTTCATTCTTCCTTGTCATTTTCCTATATCATCCCCAGAGAATCAAGATGAAGTCTTCCCCATTTCCTTAGCCATTCCTCCCCACGGCCCCAGACCCAAGTCTTACTCCCGCTATGCCGAGTCAGATCCATCTTGATGGAAAGATTGAGGTTCTCAGAACGGAAGGCCCGGTAGGAGTCATGAAGTTGGCCCAAGGGCACCTCAGGCAGGAACTCTGGGGCCCACAGAGTAACACTATGGTGATCATGGGGGTTCCCATGGCACAGCCACTGCAGGTCCAGTGTCATGCTGAGGTCAGGCAGGTGTAGGAAGCAGCAGTCATCATACCTGTCTCACAAAAGAGCCCCAGTCCTCAGTGCTCTGGTCACTTGCAACCCCTTAGTTCTTCCCCTCTCCCTCCACCCTGATTCCCAAAACCTACTCAGGATTCATCCATTACTCTACTCACTTAGAGGCTGTTCTCACGTTGACGTCCAAGTCACCCTTGAACACAAACTGACCAGGTTTCCAGTGAAATGACAGGTGGTTCCACTCCCAGTGCATATTTTCAGTTGTGTTGTATGGGTCCTATAACCATTCCAAGAACTTGGTAAGACATGAATATAAGTATCATTCACATCTCCCAAATCAGTACCTCTCATCTTTTTTTTCAACACAAAATGCTTCTTAAGTTTCTGTATCATTCTTATACTAAGGTCATGCTGATCTCCGTATTCCAATTTTAATATATGTGTGAACAAAACAAGCACCCTGATCAGTGTCCTTCTCTCTCTTCCTCCATGTGTCTGGATAACCCCAACCATACAATCCTAACAGAAAACAACTCTGGACCCCTCACCTCAGTAGCGAGCTGGTGCAGATTGGCCTGTTCAATGTCCATGTGCCAGTCTCCATGGAACAGAAGACGGCTCTTGTCCCACCAAGGCAAGGGTGGGCTAGGGTCAGCTGAGGGTTTGGTCAAGAGGTCCACAGATTGGCCAATCAGTGTCCAGGCTGGATCCCAGCATGGGCCCCAAATCACTGTATACTGGAAGATTTCCGCTGGAGTTGAGGGACAAAGAGCACAGCTCATTACACAACTTCATCCCTCTAGTCTTCTTCACTTCAGAAGGCCTCAGCTCATTCCCCACTCAGTCATAAACATTCCACAAACCAACTGCCCTCCTCTACTCACAGCGGAAGTCATGGTAGAACTTGAGTGGGGGCATGTTCCTTTCCACTGCCACATTACCCCAGGGAAGCCCCAAGTGCAATATTTGACGCCGACGGGAACAAGGCTGACCGCTCTGCTCAGTGCCCACAAGCCGACCATTCAGTCTCCAGTCATGGATCTCAAACAGGTACCGGGGATAATCTCTTATCCGAACTGTTATTGCAAGAAGAGATACTGGCTACTAAGGATTTTGCTCAGCAATCTCAGGCCCTTTTTCCATCACCACTTTACCAATTATTTCACAAAGCCACTGACAGAAGAACTAGCAGTTGGTTTAAAATAAAAATGGGAGGGGTTGGAGTGATAGCACAGCAGGTAGGGCATTTACTTTGCACGCAGCCAACATGGCTGACACAGGTTTGATTCCCAGCATCCCATATGGTCCCCCGAGCACCGCCAGGAGCAATTCCTGAGTGCATGAGCCAGGAGTAACCCCTGAGCATCGCCGGGTGTGATCCAAAAAGCAAAATAAATAAATAAATAAATATGGGACCCACGAGTGGCTGCCTGGCACGGCCATGGCTCCAGAAGCACAAGGAATTAATGCAGAGCCCAGCAGCTTGCAGCAGAAAAGTGAATGGACTATGCTCTAATCCATGGCACCATGCTTCCAGAGCCAGAGAAACCAATCTCATAATTATCTGGCTCTCGGCAGAAATACTTCCAGGCTTAATAAGTAAAGTAAAGGCCCTCCCATTGTTCATCGATTTGCTCGAGTGGGCCCAGTAACATCTCCATTGGAGATTTTGTTGTTACTGTGTTTGGCATATCGAATACATCACGGGTGGCTTGCCAGGCTCTGCTGTGCGGGCGAGATACTCTCGGTAGCTTGCCGGGCTCTCCGAGAGGGGCGGAGGAATCGAACTCGGGTCGGCCATGTTGGCTGCGTGCAAGGCAAATGCCCTACCGCCATGCTATCGCTCCAGCCCAAATATCAGAAATCCAAAATCATGCAGCGGCTATTGCGGCCACACGACCTCATTTGGTTCTTGTAACCAGCTGTAGAAAACAAATATTTCACAATGCCTTTTCAGCAGGTCTGATTTTGGGGTGTAAACTCTAAACAACAATGGTGCATCTTTTGTCGAAACAATGAATCTAATCAAAGTAGAGAGAGTGCTAATTAGAATTCATCTGCCTTCACAGGCATTGAGAGGGATGGGAGGGGGTGTATTCTGGGGTTCTTGGTGGTGAAAAATAAGTACTGGTGAAGGAAAATATGTTTGATCATTGCATGACCGAAACTTAAACCTGAAAGCTTTGTAACTTTTCCCACAGTGATTCAATAAATAAATAAATAAATAAAAATGGGAGGCTGGAGCGATAGTACAGTGGGTAGAGCATTTGCCTTGCACACAGCAGACCTGGGTTTGATTCCCAGCATTCCATATGGTCCCCTAAATACTGCCAGGGGTAATTCCTGAGTGCAGAGCCAGGAATAACCCCTATGCATCGTTAGGTGTGACCCCAAAAAAAACCAAACCAAAAAAATAATAAAGGAAAATAACGTACGTATAAAAAGTAAAGTAAAAAATGAAAGGGCATGGGGGCTGGAGATATAGCACAGCGGGTAGGGCGTTTGCCTTGCACATGGATGACCTGGGTTCAATTCCCAGCATCCCATATGGTCCCTTGAGCACTGCCAGGAGTTAACTCCTGAGTGCAGAGCCAGGAGGAACCCCTGTGCATCACTGGGTGTGACCCAAAAAGCAGAAAAAAAAAAAAAAAAAAAAAGAAAGGGCATAAGATCATAAGATCTTGAACAGAAAGTGAGGAATGACACATTAAGATTCAAACTAATCCTGAACATGATTGTTAGTTAGCCCTTTACGTTAACTGAGCAGTTTCAGGGTGAAATTCAGGAACAAAGAAAGGGAAGAGGAGCCCACCCATCTAAAAATAGCCATAGTTCCCCATATAACCAAGCTCCTCTGTAATCAAAGACCTCCTGGAGCTTTTGGAAGAAACATCAGGCTTTGCAAATAAGGAAGCACTACTTACCCAAAAATGTCTTGACATTGCACTTGATCATACGGCACCACTGAATAACAAGATCGATTCCTTCTGGAGGAAATGGGCTGACTGGATCAAGTTCTCGAACCTGCTCCAACACACGTTCAGGCCCATGGAAAGACGCGTCTGCCAAAGCCACCAGTTCTAACCCTGCCAGGCTCCAAGTGAGCAGTGCTCGGCGCATGGGCGTGTTGCCATAGAGACGACGGGAGCGCTGGATGTAGATTTCAATGTTTTTGTGTTCCAAAGAGGCATAAAGCTCTTCAATTTTGCGAGCTGGCAGTAACTCCCCATGCTGCTTTCTCAGGGCAGCTACTTTAGCATCCAACAGCTGTAGCCTTTTGGCACTCTCCTTACTTTCATCCTTCATCAGTTCATAGTTATCACGAAGCTTTACCTCAAATATGTCATCCAGGAAAACCCATGAGAAGTGTTGAATCTTCAAAAGGAGATCAGGTGGGAGGGGGGCAGGACTTGGAGAGGCCTGAGCATGAGTTCCTCGATGCAGCCCCTTCAACCATTTCTGCACTCCCACTGCCTCATCAAGAGTTCGGGAGAAGTCATACTGATAAGGAAACTCCACTGAGACTGAGCCCAAGGAGAGAAGCCAAACACGGTTCCGGAGGGTCTGTAACATAGGGAAGGGATTCCGGTGGAGGATCATCTCCTCCAGCTCAGGCAGCAGTTGCAACTCCACCTCCTTGAAATTGAAAATACCATTGCCATCAAAACCAGCAGCCAGCTCTGGACAGTAAGCCTGCAATGAACCTCCATGCCGGCTGACAGATATACTCTCGGCAGCCAGGGTAATGAACCTGTCCTCAGCTACAAAAGCTGTCAGTTTGGCCGTGCTCACTTCTAGTGTCAAGTTTAGCAGTCGCTTGGGGGGAGATGGCTCAGGGGGTTGGCTTTCTAGCTCACAGGAAGTCCTGGAAGTCTCGTCTTCAATAAGTGGAACAGTCTCAGGAAACAGAGTGGCTCTCAGGAGATCTCGGCTCTGTAAGGTGGCCAGGATGTGCTGATATAGGTACATGTGATCTGGGGGGCTCCACAGTAAGGTGAGCCCTGCACCACACTGAACCTTTGGGGAATAAGAGAAAAAGATTTGTCAATCACCCTGGGCAAGAACAAAAGATATGGCAGGAATGATTTTGCAAGCACACTTGGCTCAACAATCATTTCCACACAGAAGAAGTCTTTCCTTAGTAACCACATTGATTACTCTCTTACCATGTTTCCCCTTAGTATTAATATGCTGACCTTAGAGTTCTTAGTAGTTCTTTTACATTTAAAAGCATTTACTATTTGTTTTGGGGTCACTCCCAGCAATGCTCAGTGGCTACTCCCAGCTTAGTGCTCTAGAATAGCTCCTCGTGGTGGTAGGGAACCATGTGGTGCTAAGGACCAAATCAGGGCCTTCAACATGCAAAGCATGCACTTTACTTATTTCTTAAAAGTTAGAGATAAAAAGTTATAATACAAGACTACACAGTAATTAATGTATTTAAAAAATGCACCTTACAGAGGTAGTGGAGGGATCAGAGAGCTAGCTCAATGGGCTGAGCACCTGCTTCCCATGCAGGAGGCCGAGTTCAATTCCCGCACCAGAGGGTCTCCTGAATACTGCTGAGGAAACCCCCAAGCACAGAGTTGGAAGTAGTTCCTGAGCATTGTCAGGCATGATCAAAAAACAAAAAACAAAAGGCAGCAGAGTACTTATTAGCTTTTAAAAAATGTCAGGGGCCAGAACAATAGTATAGCAGGTAAGGCACTTACTTTGCATGCAGCCGAACTAGCACCCCACACAAGCCCACCAGGAGTGATCACTGAGTGCAGAGTCAGGAGTAAGCCCTAGGACAGCCAGGTGAGGCCCAAAACATCCCCCCCCCACACACAAAAATAAACCAGATATAAATAAGTAAGTGGACAGAGAAAATGTTAATTTCAGGGGCTGGAAATAGAGTACAGTTTCACTAGGCAGACCTGGGTTGGATTCTCAGGACCCCATGTAGTCTCCCAGGCCTGTCAGGAGTGATTCCTGACGCAGAGCCAGGAGTAAGCCTTGAGCACAATTGAGCATGGCCCAAAATCAAACCCAAACAAACAAAAACAAACATAACAAAAAATACATAATACCTTAAAAAAAAAAAAAGCTTCAGCACAGAAAAATTCCTCTGAAATCCCCTCTTTAAACCCTAAATACCACTAGGTTTTCCCAACACAACAAAAGTTTAAAACAAACAAAAAAACAAACAAACTTAGTTTTCAGAGACCAGTATTTCGATCTTCAGAGATCCTTTCCAATCTATTAATGAGGGGCTGTTTTAGACAAATGAAGTCAGATCATGATCTTCAAAAGGCCTTTGTTTTTCTGACAGGTCTATCAAAAATATTTACACTTTAAATTATTTAGGTCTGACCTCTGCTTCAAAATAATCCTGGAGGTTACAACTACTGTCAGGAAATAACTTGGTTTTAAGTAGATAATTACTAATTTGTCACTAGGTATGTTTCCCATGACTTAAAAGACAGGAAGTGCTTTAAGCCTATAATCACTCTAGGGTGAGATACAAATCTCTTCACACACTTTCCTCTAAGGAAACTTTTTTTGGATCATTTTAGCAAATTATTCATAACAAGCAATACAAAATAACTTATTTTGGGGCAGGTTAGAGTGGTGGTGGTAAAATTAGAAATAATAGTGGTGGTCCTGGGAATATATCCCAGAGAGGCAAAAAAGTATAGTCAAAGTGACATCTGCAGCGGTTTGTTCATTGCAGCACTCTTTACAATAGCCAGAATCTGGAAAAAACCTGAGTACCAGAGAACAGATGACTGGTTAAAGAAACTTTGGTACACAATGTTTAAACAATGGAGTACTATGTAGCTATTAGAAAAGAGGAAGTCATGAAATTTACATACAAGTGGTACTACATGGAAAGTATCATGTCAAGAGAAATGACTCAGAAAGAAAGGGATAGACATAGAAAGACTGCATTCATCTAGGGAACATAAAGTAACAAAATAGGAGACTAACACCCAAGAATGGCCGAGATTAGTGCTAGGAATTTTACGCCATGGCTTGGAGGCCAGCCACACATGCTAGGGGAAAAGGGAGCTCAGATAGAGAAGGGAACACCAAATATAGGGTGTTGGGAGGATCCTCCCAAGATGGGAGAAGCATGCTGAAAGTAGACTATAGATCAAACATGATTGTCACCCACTGCCTCTTTTGCAAACCACAACACCCAATAAGAGAGAGAGAACAAAAGGGAATGCCCTGCCACAGAGGCAGGGTGGAATGGGGGGATGGGGGGTGGGAGGGATACTGGGATCCGTGGTGGTGGGAAATGGGCACTGGTGGACGGATGGGTATTTGATCATTGTATAATTGAAACCCAAGCACAAAAATTTGTAAGTCTACAACTGTACCTCATGATGTCTCACTAATTAAAAAAAAAAAAACAAAACTAATATTAAAAAAAAACTCATGGAATCACAAATTACATTATAAAAAAAAAAAGAAAGAAATAATAGTGGGTGGTGGGGGCTGGAGTGATAGCACAGCGGGTAGGGCATTTGCCTTGCATGCAGCCAACCCGGGTTCGATTCCCAGCATCCCATATGGTTCCTCAAGCACCGCCAGGAGTAATTCCTGAGTGCAGACCCAGGAGTAACCTCTGCGCATCACTGGGTGTGACCCAAAAAGAAAAAAAAAAAAAGAAAGAAAAGAAAAAATGGTAGTGGGATGGCGTAATGGTGTCAGGACTGGTGTTGAAATATTGAATGTAATAAATTATTGTGAACTTAAAAAAATTAAATTTAAAAAAATGCTCTAAGTCTAGGCAAAAATGAACCTAACTCCATTTCCCTAAAAGAGTATTAGCTCAGGGGCTAGAGTGATAGCACAGCTGGTAGGGCGTTTGCCTTGCACGCGGCCCGACCCTGGTTCAATCCCCAGCATCCCATATGGTCCCCTGAGCACGGCCAGGAGTAGTTCCTGAGTGCATGCACTAGGAGTAACCCCTGAGCATCGCCGGGTGTGACCCAAAAAGCAAAAAAAAAAAAAAAAAAAAAGTATTAGCTCAAACAGTAGAGATAATATAGGGATTAAAGCACTTGCCTTGCATGTGGCCAGCCATAATTTGATCCCTGGCACAAATGGTCTCCGGAGTACCACAAGGGGTCACTTTTAAACAAGCAGGAATAGCACCTGAGAACTGCCCAACGTGACCCTAACATTACCCCGCCCCACACCGCCCTCCGCAATGTCTCTCAAGAGAAAGTTTTACCTCTAGAGAGCGTATACTGCTATGATAGGTGATGGAGAGCATGGAGAGGCAGAGCACTGGAGCAGGAATGTCAGGAGCCTTGCAACAGGGCTGCATCTTCTCTGTGACCGACTTCACCAATGCAAGCACGAGTCCTTGAATACCCACAGTAGAAGTTTCAGCACTGCCCAGGACAGTTAGTGTGTCAAGTCGAATCTCAGAAGCACCTAACACCCAAAAACAATAGCCTTGGTTCTCAAAAGGCTTCTCAAAAGTCTTCATTTTTGGTTCTCTAAAGGTTCTCAAAAGTCTCCCTTCTCTTTTCTTGTTTATATCTTTCCCTTGAGTCAACCTCAATCCCACACTTTTCAAAACTCACTTCTTACATCTTAGGGAAATTCTTTCTTTCTCTCAACCTAACTAAATCTGGTAGCAACAAAGTAGTTCCCTAATTCTAATAAATTGCCCAGAGAGGGGCCGGAGCGATAGTACAATGGGGAGGGCACTTGCCTTGCATGTGACAGACCTGGGTTCAATCCCTGGCATACCATGTAGTTGCCAGAGCACCACCAGGAGTAATTCCTGAGCACAAAATCAGGAGTAACTCCTGTTCATCACCCGGTGTAGCCCCTCCAAAAACCCCAAATTAAATAATTTCCTAGAGATACAAGCAGTTACTCTGGAACTAAGAACATAAAGAAATTAAACAGCTGCACAGATTTCTTTCTCCTGATGAGGTATCAGACTAGTTAAGTCTTTTTCCCTTTCTTGTTTTTGGGCCACACCCAGCTGTGTTCAGAGATCACTCCAGTATATGCTTGAAAGACCGTATGTGTTGCTGGGTATGAGCTCGGGCTGGCTGTGTGCAAGGCAAGCGCCTTAGCCACTACACTATGTTGCTCCAGCCCCAAGGTTGGTAAGTTTTACCTTTGTCTATCTTTCTTAAAACTTACACAATGATTATGCAAGCATCTTCCAGCATCTCATTCAGTAAAATTCCAGAAATTTTACTTCATTGAGAAAAATCAGAGCAAAACCAAAAACTACGTAGGATATATCGCTAGACTCTCTATTCTACTTACCAACCAGGGGAGAAAGGGTGAACAAGTTCATGTCCTCCACCTTCAAGTCCACCTTCCACAATAACGACACAGATTCCCCAAATGAAGATTCCCTAGAAATAGCTGGTTTCCCAGACTGTGGGCCCATCAAGGATAAAATCCGAGAGAGACATTGGGCACAGGTGTCTGATGCTTCTACCTGTAGTCCTCGGATAGTACAATCAAGAAAGAGGGTATCTGACTGGGAGCTGGATAAGCCCAGAGGTTGGTTATAGCTACCCTGGAAAAAAAAGCACAGGTTTCCATAAGAACAGTCACGCACATGTATGGTCTGCAATGCCCTTATACATTACCTGGCTCCTACTCAAAGTATTGAGTACTTTGAAGCACAAGAAAACTCTACAGACCCTTGTTCTTGAAACTCCCCACATACCTGTAGTGCAAAGGAGTCCAGGACAAGTGCCTCGCCCCAAACATGCATATTGGGTGGGTGGGGTGCCCGTTGAATGTGGGAGTCACTGCCCACCCGCCAGCAGAGATGATCTACAGTTAGGACGCCTCGCTGATGGATACTTTGTGGCCTCAAGTGTTGGTAATCTGAACAAAAGAGGTAGAAGAGAGGAATTCTATGGAGCCACTGTGGTCAATAATCGGGCTCAACTAGGTTAATGGGCAGATTCTTGTTTCTTTTCCATCACAGAACCTTACCCAGAGAGACGGAATTGAATCCCAAGGCAAAGGGTGGTGTATCTCCCAGCTGAATGGAAATGTTGACATTGGAGATAGAGGTGCTAAAGATGATGGGAGCCAGAATCTGGGGGAAGATTCTGTATAGGAAGAATACACATTGCTTAACAAGGAAAGAATTTAGGTTTATTTTCATGGACAAGTTGCTGAAGCTCTTAAAAGTTAGGACAAGTTGTGCTGTAACTCTTAGAATGGGATGGAACTAGAATATAAAAGACTAAACTCATTTGGCTATTACTCCCAATCAGAATCTTCAGAAACATTGAAGTGATAGCAGGTTGAACCATAAGGAGCTGATTTCATAGATCATATATGATGAACATCAGCATATGATTTAATCTAATACAAACACAATACTGTGACACACACGCATATGTATGAGATAATGACTTGTGACATAATGTAGCACTACACAGAGATATGGCATGCTGCCAAAACCTGTCACCTTACAATCTGAGGCAGAAAAGCTACTGGTTAAAGTTCATGTCAACAAATGTTTGTTTTTGACAATTAAGTTTTGTGCTGGGCTTCAAGTATATAAAATAAAATGGCATCATTTTATCTTCAGTGTTTTCCAGCTTTTTTCCAACCATGACCCCTGTTCAACCTTGTGTCATTCCTGTGGCCCCTGGTCTATCAGTCGACCTTTTGGTTTCATACTGTAGTCTCCATTTACATGATTTCTCACCAGTTGTCCTTTGGAATATCTTAGAAGTCCCTAAAGGACTATATAACCCCTCGTTGAGAAACATTGATCTAGACTAATGAAAAAAGATATATATGATAGAATTATTATGGAAACAAGAATTTAAGGACACTAAGCAAAAAAAAGAAAAAAGAAAAAAGGACACTAAATAATCAAGTATATACTTTTGTTTGTGGCTTTGCCACAACCTTGTGTTGCTAGAGCGTCCTTCCTTCTGACAGATCAAAGAACCATGTAGTACAGGGGATTAAACCCAGCTCTACTGCTTGCAAAGCATGTGCTCCAGTCTGTTGAGCTTTCTCTCTGGTCCTCATATACTTTTTTCGGGAAAGAGTTATTTTCGGCAATACCCAGCAGTGCTCAGGAGTGACCTCAGGGGACCATACTTGGTGTCAGGGATCAAACCAAAGTCATGGCTGAAGCAGGTATATGAAACGTAAATACCTTACCTCCTCTGCTATCTCTCTGGTCCTCAAGTACATATTATTAGAATGTGCCACTTTAGACCACAAAAAATTTTAGAGTATCTACTGATAAGAGGGAGATGAAAAAGATTACACTGACCGTTTTTCCCTTTTCTTAAGAGCTGATGAATTAGACCCATGTGTCTCCAGTGCTAGCATTTGTAGCCAATGAGAGAATTCCTGGTGCCGATAATGAATAATGCAAGTATTCAGAAACAGGGAGGCTGAGAGGTCAATGGTGGTCACCTGGAAATAAGAACATCAGATCTGTGTTTTCTGGGACATACCCAGAGTGCTTAGAGGTCATTTCCAGTGGCACTCAGAGAAACCATTTGGTACTAGGGATTAAACACAGGCCTCTAGCATATAAGGCATGAGCTCAAACTCTTTGAGTTATCTCTCTAGTCCCTTACGTTTTATGTTTCAGCTCATTTTAGATGTAGCATTGTCAGACAAAGGAATAATCCTTATTTTATTTTGGCCAAATCAGTGGCTGCTCAGAGACCACAGGGTGCTGGGAATTGAACCTGGAAGTCCCATATGCAAAGCATGTGCTCTACCTTTAAGCCATCTATCTGGCCCCAGAAAAGAATAATCCCCGATGCTGTTGCTCCGTTTTTCATAATTTCTGTTTTTATTTATTTTGGTATAGGTCTTGGGCTACATTCTGCTGTGCTCAGGGCTTACTCCTGGCTCTGCACTGATGGATCACTCCTAGTAGTGCTCAGGGACCGTACATGGTGCCAAGGAGGGAACCCAAGTAGGCTACACGCAAGGCAAGCACCTTACCTACTGTAAATCTCAGAAAAATATTAACTTTTGGTACTATACCTGAATGCTAGCTTTGAGGGAATTGAGGCAGACAATGCGCTGACGGCTCTGGGACAGTAATAACCCATCTGTAAAGACACAGTGCAGCTCTGAGAACACTGGGAGGACAAAAAATAAACTACAGAAAGGCCAAAAGCAGGTGAGATCAACAGACTGCATCCAACACTCATGAATTGGACCTATCTTCACTCAGTATACTTTCCTCCTCCCGCTTCACCAGTTACACTGAAAGACATTTAGATCACATTAGACATAAGAAGAATGTGTCTTTTCCTCCCAGTCTTTGTACCAGTACCCCAACTCGTAAACCTTTCAGCAGAAGTTCAGTGCTCATCTGTGCCATATCAGAGTTTGATGTGAAGCTTCGAAGGGGCAATTGATCCTCATCACGGTGGTATAAGAATTGAAGCAGCTTCAATGTCCAATTCAAGTGCCTAAAAACAGACATAAGACTCAGGTTCAGAAAGAAACAGAATGCCATACTTCCTTCCTTTTCTCCTCACAGGTAAGCTTTTGTAGCAAGTGGACTGATTATGTGCATTGTGTCTCCCAACTATCACTGTCCATATTACTGAGTGGAGAACTCATCTCTTTTTATTATTTACTTATTTTTTGGTGAGGAGGGGGTCACCTTGGTGGTACTCAGTAACTCTCAGAGCTTGGTGTACAGGGATCACTTCTGATGGTGCTCAATAAATCAGGCAGTACAAGGTATCACACCTAAGGCCTCACACATGCACATGAAAGACAATGCTCTACATTAAGTCACATCCACATCCCTGGTCTGAGATCTTACCTCTTTTGACTGTTCATGGAGAGTACCACACTTGTGCTCTCCATCTTCACTTTGACCTGGTCTGGCAGCTGCTGAAGAAAGCACAGCCCAGGCAGAACTGGTTCAGCCAAGTCCTCTGCCACTTCTGAAAATATCAAAGCAAGAGCTATCAATCCTTAATTCTCCCAAAATGCTCTTCCTTCTTTGGTCAAATGTCTCCCATGACCAATTTTAGACTACAAGGCAAATAGCCCAGAAATCCAGAAACTAACATATACTCCTCCACACTAATAATTAACATGAAAAGCAAGATGTACAGTGAAAAGAATATAGGTTTTAGTATCTTTATTTGGGGAAGGGGCAGGGCAAGAGTTGGGCCATACCAGCAATGCTCAGGGTCTATTCCTGATTTTTTGCTCAGGAGTGACCCTGGCAGATCAGGAGACCATATGTGGTGCCAGGGATTTGAAGTAGGTCATGGCCACATTTGCATGCAATGCTTACCTCCCATATTATCTCTCTGGCCCTTTTTTTAAAATTTCTTTTTTTATGAGGGGAGAGGAGTCAACTTAAACTACTTATGACTTAGTATTCTTTACATCTTCGGGGGGGAAAGGGAAAAACAAACACTGTTTTTGCTACTGACTAGCTACATGACCTCAGTCAAGTTCTAGCTATCTAATCTTCTAAGGTTTCAGTTTCCTCATTTGCGAAATGCTGAAGATTTAGTGAGAAAACACAGAAACCTAGTTCATAGTAAAAACCTACTAAATATTAGTTTTTTCGTTCACCACAAGTAAATGCCCTCGTTCCTCTAACTCTCCTCAGGATCAACTGAGGGTGACTAACAAATCAGAACTAAATAAGCAGGTAGACCATTCTATTTTTCTACTTTCAAAATAACTCAAAAACAGGGCAACCAAGATGTTCGATGACTAGAGCTTTACCTGAATAGGGAACAGGCGTGGGTGCCGGGCTAGGGCCCTGGCGCAGCAGCTTACTATGGAAAAGACCCTCATGCAGCTCAGCGTGCAATGTCCACACGTCCACAGAGATTGCCTTCAATTTCCAACTGCTGGTGCTCACCTCTAGACACAATTTTAGAGCCAGTGAGAGCTCTGCAAGGCAGGTGTCTTCCTGTAAGGAGAATGAACTACTTAGGTGGACATACAGAGAACCCAAGTCCTAAGTTCACTGATATCGGGCATGGGGGGAGGGGAAGGAGTAAGGAGGAGCAGTAGGCTTTTAGGCCCCACCTGGAAGTGCTTAGGAACCATTCCTGGTGATTCTTTAGGGACCAGATGAAATATACCAGGGATTAAACCAGGATCAGCCACATGCAAAGCAAACAACTTAAATAGTTGTACACTCTCTCCAGCACCTCCTTATGCCCAGAAGGAAATAAGATATCTGAATGGCATACTCACCAACTGACCACTCTTAAGAACTTTGCTGTTGATCTGACTTAGGCTCACCTCACTTTTCAGTCTAGGAAAGGGAAAAAAAAATTAAGCTCTGGCCCATTTTCTCATCTTTTTTTTCCTGCTGGCTAGAAGGGAGAAAATAAGAAGCACCTAAACTTAACATCTTCTCAAATACCACTGAATAAGAAACTGATAATCTGATAAAAAGGCCCTGATGTCAACCCACCTGAAAGTAACTCTATAGCAAGAATGAAACTACCCAAACCTCTGTTACCCAGTGTTTACCTTTTCCCATCACTATCCAAAAGAAAGCTGCTTTTCCTGATTCTGATATGCCACAGGGACTCAGAAGTAGCCACCTTGAGAACCATGATATTTATAGAATCTACATGAATGGAGAATAACTGAAAGAAACAAAGATAAAAAAATAATTACTAAGGCATTCTTTCTATGGACAAAAGACTTAAAAGCAGTTTAGTACTACACCACCAAGTAGTAGAAAAACCAAGCTAAGATTCTAAAACCAGTCATTTCTAGTATAATCAGGAAGATGGTAGTAGTCTCACCTGGCAGAAGATCTTCAATAAAGATGGACTAAAGGACAGCTCCTTTTGATGCACCCCAGTGTTCTGAGAGAACGGGGCAAACAGGCTAGAAACCTTCTGCAGGTCCGTTCTGATACGCACCTCTCCAAAGCACAATGCCACATAGTGTCTGCTCAGAAGAAAAACCTCACTGTCATCAGTCCTCTGTCCCATAATAGTCTCTTCCGATCCCTCACATCCACTCTCCCATCCTTCTTAGAAATGTAGCACAAGAGGCTAGAGAGATAGTACAGTGGGTAGGAGGCTTGCCTTGTATGCAGCTGACCTGGGTTCTATCCCCAGCACCCCATATAGTTCCCTGAGCTTGCCAAGAGTGATCCCTGAGTGCAGTGCAGAGCTAGGAATAAGCCCTGAGCATAGTGAGATCTGGTCCCCCACTGAAAGAAAGAAAGAAAGAAAGAAAGAAAGAAAGAAAGAAAGAAAGAGAGGGTCGGAGCAATAATACAGGTGGGTAAGGCTTTTGCCTTGCACGTGGCTGACCTGGATTCCACCCCCAGCATCCCATATAGTCCCTCCCTGTGCAACGCCAGGAGTAGTTCATGAGTGCAGAGCTAGGAGTAATCACTAGGTGTGACCTGAGCATCACTAGGTGTGACCCAAAAAGCTCCCCCAAAATTTTTTTAAAAAGGAAAAATATAAAGAAATGTAGAACAAACTATGCAAAATAGACTCATAGTGGCTATCACTATGTTTCAGAAAAGATAGTAACTTCTGGACTAATTGGGAGACACAGCAAGAACCCACGACTCTCCTTGTATTGTGAGGCCTCTTTGAAAGACTATCATTCTGCAAATCCCAATCCCCAAATATTCCCCAAGGCGAGATTGAAAGTAGAAGAATACTCACGGCAGATCATGACTAAGGAGCTTGCTGGAAATCCACAGGCTATCAATTTCCTAAAACAGTGTGGGAGAAAGCTTTGTATCCCAGCTTCTTAAGTTACAAGCAACTTGACAAGCCAAAAAAGGTTCTAAAAAAGTGGAGGAAGTTTTGCAGTCCTTCCACTAAAAATTTCCATTCCATTTTCACCAACTTCTCTCCTCAGTAGTATACCTTGCTCCTCACAGAGATGTTAGCTGAACTTGTTTAGTAATTTTCTCTTATGGTTCAAAACTCAGAATTGTTCCTCTCCACGGAAATCTTTAGCAAAAGGCGAAAGATGGATGTTTCCCTATTTCCCCTCTCATATTAGAACAGTATGCTCTTCAGTGCCCTTGTTATCTTTCTATTGCACTTCTGTATCTTATTTGTCCTGGACATATTGTGCCTTATAAGCATTTAAAATCAAACAACTTGCATCAATCATAGTGTTCCCAAACTAACCCCAAAATTTTCTTTGCAAAGAGATATCACGGCTACGTGAACTTAAAAAGACACCCAGGATTTTTTGTTTCTTAAAGGAAATTAAGGGAAGAAATTCTGCTGGCTCTCCCCCAAAAGAATGCCCAGGAAGTTCCTCAGGACTTACCACTGTTTGTTGGTGTTGCTGAAACTTAAGACTGACATTCTGAATCCAAAAAAGAGAGCCAATCTTTAGCTCTGCCTGCAGCTTCCGTTCGCACCACTTGGTGGCCAACCGGACCACAAGCCACCTGCAGAAAAACATTCCTGTGCGTTTACAAGACCCCTCTTCCCGGGGCTGGAGTGATAGCACAGGGGGTAGGGCGCTTGCCCCGCACAAGGCCAACCTGGGTTGGCCGACCTGGGTTCTATTCCAAGCATCCCATATGGTCCCCCAAGCACCGCCAGGAGTGATTCCTGAGTGCAGAACCAGGAGCATTGCTGGGTGTGACCCAAAAAGAAAAAAAAAAAAGACCTCTCTCCCAATTCTGGCCTCCCACCCTCTAAGTGTCCCCAGCGGGCCACTTGCAAAGGCCATGAATCTTCAGGACAAGTCTCCTGTCTTCCCCAAACATACACTTGAGTCAGACTGACCAGACCCTCTAGCTTCTTGATTATTCCACGCACCTAGATGAAGTCAAACTCAACTCCACCCTTGAAGTTGGGGACAAAGAAAGTAAAGCCTCAAATCCGTAGGAACCGCAGAGGTACAGCAAGAAGAGGATCCAAGAGTATTCCAAATACACCCCGCCGCACCAACAGGCAGACAGGCCGTCACACACTCCCCTGAGGGTCTCTGTCCACCAGAAGTCACTCGGAGTCGCTCCCGATCAGCGCAAATGTCACTGTGCCCCGGGCAGCTGGACCTGCTCCCACTCCTCAGGGCGGGGCTGCAGGTGCCCTTCGCGCCCAGGAAGGGGTGATCGCGAGGAGCGTGGAGCCCGGGAAAGGGTGATCACGGGACCACACACACGCGCGCGCGCACACGCGTACACACGTACGTACACACACACACACACACACACACACACACTCTCTCTCTCTCTCTCTCTCTCTCTCTCAGCTCCCAGCCTCAGCATCTCTTCAGGCCTCTCCCGCTCGCTCTAGCTCCTCCGCGACAGCGACAGCTGACGCCCCCGCTCGACCCCGCGGCTCGCCGCGCGCCCCTCGCCAGCCGGCCCCTAGCACTTGGCGCCGGCCCGCCGGCCCGCTCAACCCCCTTCCCCTCCCGCGCGCCGTCCCCCAGCGTGCGCCCCCTCCTCAGCCTTTCTTCCCCTCCCTGCCTCCACCCCCGCGGAAGCCGACATTCCCTCACCGGCCGAGGAAGAGGGCGCCGAGCGCAACCAACAGCAAGGCCAAGAACGCGAAGAAGTACACTGGCATTCCAGCCCCGGCTCAGCCTGGCTCCGGCCCCAACCCAGCCGGGAACCCCCCCCCCAACCCCCCGCGCCGGCTCCGCTCTGCGCCGCCGCGGGCCGACCAGACGCGAGCGCAGGAACAGCGCTGGGTGGGGAAGCGTTGGCGCGCCTGCGCCCTGCCCCGCCCCGCCGCCCTCCAGCCAGCCGGCGGGGCCTCCTCACCGTCCGTCCCGCCCCGCCGGGCGCCTGCGACCCGGCAGAGCCAACCCGCGACTCGCGCGAAGGGAAGGCGTGGCTCCGGGAAGTGAAGCCGCAGGAGCGGACCTCGCTCCCGGGGCACACGCCCCGCCTCCGGACGCACCCTTTGCTACCCGGAAATGCAGAACCCGGGCAGAGCCGGGGTTCGGCGGCGCCGAGCGCTCCGTGCCTGGCGCCGAGCCCCGAGGCTTTGTCTAGCTGTAGGAAGTTCTAGTTTGAAAGTACTTTTCCAGGGAAGTGAGGGAATCAGCTCGGGCGTGGAGGGCTGCACTGAACATACTGACGGAAATTGTACTCAGTCCTGAAAGTAGTTCGCCATCTCCGTAGAGTCGGAGTAATCGTGGCTTTTTTTTTTTTTTTGGTGGGGGAAGGGGTTTGGAGTTTTTTGGTGCCGGCGAGGGCAAGGGACGTGTCACAGCCAGCGTGGCTTAGATCTTGCTCCTGGCGGAGTTTAGGGGACCCGAGTTCGAAACCATTCTGGTGGTATGCAAGGCAAAAGCCTTTTCCTCAGAGTAATCGATGAGAAAACCGAAAGGTCCACCTTATGCCGGCCGCAAAGACTGAAATTTTTATTTTATTTTTCTTTGGTTTTGGGTCACACCCTGCGATGCTCACGGGTTACTCCTGACTCCACACTCGGGAATTATTCCTGGCGGTGCTCGGGGATATGGGATCCGTATGGGATACTGGGAATGGAACCCGCGTCGGCCGCATGCAAGGCAAACCCCTACCCGCTGTGCTGTCGCTCCAACCCCCAAGACTGAAATTTTTGTTTTGATTTGCGATACCTGGATAAAACCAGCGTTTCTCATAGAGGAAGCGTGGACCCCAGATATATGCCTGCATTCCATCTTCCTTTTTGAACTTTGGCAGAGGGTTGTTAGGGGTTTTATTTTTTCTCATTTTCCTGACCCTGAAAGAGCCTCCAATACAGCAGCGTTGGGAAACACGAGTTAGGAGAGGCTGCTAAAATCTCAGGGCTGGGACAAATGGAGCTGTTGCTGGTGTCCACCAGTAAATCGATGAACAACAGGATGACAGTGACAGTGATTTTGTATTTTGCAGGGTTCTAATACCCAGGGCCTAACGTATGCTAGCATGCTAGCTAGACAAGTGCTGTACGGCTGAGTGACATCCCTGCCTCCTAACAATGAGGAGCTTTTTAGCTTTTTCTGGTTTTGTAGCCACACCCTCCAGTGGTCAAGAATCACTCCTGATAGGGCTAGAGGACCATGGGGGATGCATGGGATCAAAACCTGGTCAGCCCCGTGCAAGGCAAGTGCCCTACCCACTGTAGTAAGGCTCCTGCCCCACTCTTTGCTTTTTTAATTTTGTGCCAGGCCCGGAGTTGTTCTGGGCCCCATCCACGTGCGAGACAAGTCCTTACTTAACCTCTGTACTATTCACCAACCCAGGGATGAGTTTTTAATCCATTCATATTTTAAATACCATTTTAGTCACTTACCGTGTATTGACCAACTGTGTCGAAGTACATTCTGGACTCTTTATTGGGCAAAATTTGTGTGTACTGTGTAAAATGCAAACTGGGACTGGGTGGGGTAGGAAACTACAGAAAAATGGTTCCTGCTTTTCAGCAAGGAATAAGGAAGCAAATGTAATTTCATGAAATAGACAACTTAGGATCAACTTGAATTGGTCCCTTTACTTCTCTGTGAAATGAGAAGAAAACAGATGTTTTTCCCAGCTTCAGTACAAACTACAAAAAGTCCCAGGATTTTTGGGTGTGAGGGTCACACCTGGCAATGCTCAGGTGCTGCTCCTGGCTCTGCACTCAGAAATTACTCCTGCCAGTGCTCGGGAACCATCTGGGATGCCCTTCCAACCCAGTATGGCCGTGTGCAAGGCAAATGCCCTCCCACTGTACTATCGCTCTCACCCTAAGTCTCAGGATTTTAAAATAAGTGTTACAGAGAATCTCTGAAACATCCTTTCCAATATTTTACTCTCTACTATTTATTCAATTAAAGCAATATTTCAGCTTTCACTTGGAAGGCCCATAACACTTTTACTACTCCAAAGGGTTCCTCCCCCCACTCCTTTTTCTTTTGCAGTACCAAGGATTGGGCCTCACACATACAATGCATACATTCTACCTCTGGATCACATCCCGAGCCCTTGGTTTCCTTCCATATCTAGTCTTTTCATTAAACTTTTTCTCTCAAGTCACATTCTTGGGGCTGGAGCGATAGCACATAGGGTAGGGCGTTTGCCTTGCACGTGGCCGATCCGGGTTCGATTCCCAGCATCCCATGTGGTCCTCCGAGCACCTCCAGGAGTGATTCCTGAGTGCATGAGCCAGGAGTATCCCTGGGCAACGCAAGGTGTGACCTAAAAAGCTAAAAATAAAAAAAAAGATGACTCAAGTCACATTCTTTGTAATCTGCAGGCTCCTCTCAGGGTATATCTATGAACCCTCAGAGAAGGCCTGTAAACTTTTTTCCTTTTTAGGTCACACCTGGCGATGCACAGGGGTTACTCCTGGTGCTGCACTCAGGAATTACTCCTGGCAGTTCTCAGGGGACCATATGGGATGCTGGGAATCAAACCCAGATTGGCCATGTGCAAGGCAAATGCCCTACCTGCTATACGACTGCTCCAGCCCCAGGCCTGTAAACTCTATTAAAATTGTCCAAATGGGGGCCTAAGCAATAATACAGATTACCAGCTGTATACTATCTCTCTGGCGCTTCATCTTTTTTCCATCAAGTTTTTGGGCCATACCCAGCAGGGCTCTGCTAGGGATTGTACCCTGCCTGTCTCCTACATGCAAAGTATGTGCTCCATAGTACAGCAGGGAGGGTACTTGCTTTGCACGCAGCCAACTGGGGTTCAATCTCAGGCATCCTATATGGTCCCCTGGCACCACCCGGAGTAATCCCAGCATTGCAGGGTGTGGTCCAAAATAAAAACAAAAAACTGGTCTAAGTAGGCCAAAGTTTCTATAGGAAGTCAAATACTTGCTTTGCAATCAGCCAATCTGGGTTGGGAGTCTCTGTACCACATAGGATCCTTGAGCACTTACCCAGGAGTAGCCCCTGAATATCATAAATGTGAACCTCCCTATCTCCAAATAAAATTATCCAAGTCATTTTCCTACTCATTTTGTTGTTGTTGTTGCAGAGAGACAGAAAGAACACAGTCTGACTGTGCTCAGCATTTACTCCTGGCTCTGTGCTTAGATCGTTCTGGGATAGACTTGAGAGACCATATGTGCTGCTAGGGATCAAACCTGGGTCAGCATGTGCAAGGCAAACGCCTTACCAGCTGTACTATCTCTCTGGCCTCATCTTTTCTTTTTCAGTTTTTGGGCCATACCCAGCAGGGCTCAGGGTACCATGCTATGGATTGAACCGTACTCGCCTCCGATAAGTATGTGCTCCAGCTCATTGTGCTATCTCGTCTCCTTTCATTGTGTACAATTTTTCTTTGATTCTGATTCCTTCCTATCACTTTCTTTCTTCTATCACCCACGGTTACCACCTTACTTTCAACTATTTCAATAGCCTGAAATGTTGATTTCATCATTTGTCTGCTTGTGGAGAGATCTCAAGAAGCATGCATCTGAAATGGAATAGTGGGGAAGAAGAGAGAAATAGAGCTCAACTAATTTGGCCTCAATTTATTGAGACTGGTCTTTGCAAAAAATCAAGTCTTTTATTGTCATGGGCCAGTCTGGCACATTTGGTACACCCAAATGTTCAGTTTTCTTTTTTTTTTTTTTTTTAACTTTATGGTTTTAGGCTGTGCTCAGGCTTATTTCTGGCTCTGTGTTCAGGCATCACTGCTGGCAGGGCTAAGGAGTCCATATGCGATGCTAGGGATAGAACCCAAGCACCTTACCCACTGTACTATTTCTCAGGCCCCCAAATGTTCAATGCTATCACCCAAAAGCAAAAAGGAAAAAAAAAAGGATGAGAAAATCTTTAAAATAAAACGGCTGAGGTCAGAGCATTAGTGCAGAGCATTTTCCTTGCACACTGCCGACCAGGTTCAATCCCCAGCATCCGATATGGTCCCTTGAGCACCACCAGGAGTAATTCCTGAGTGCAATACCAGGAATAACCCCTGAGCATCGCTTGCGTGTGATGAAATCCATCACTGAAATCCCAGCAGATTCTAGACACATAATGTTTGCTATGACTGTGCTTGACGGACAATGAAGCAAACCTGGAATCAACTAGGAATTTAAATGTTCTCTTTTAAGGACCAAAGAAGTTTTCTTTTCTTTTTTTGGGGGGGGGGTCCACACCGGGCGATGCTCAGGGATTACTCCTGGCTCTGCTCTCAGGAATTACCCCTGGAGGTGCTCAGGGGACCATATGGGATGCTGGGAATCGAACCCGGGCCGGCTGTGTGCAAGGCAAACACCCTATCCACTGAGCTATCACTCCAGTCCCCCAAAGAGGTTTTCTACACTTGCTTTCAGAGAAAGATATTCCGACACTTGCCCTCCAAAAAGTAGTTTTCTTCCAAGAACTAACATAACCATTGTAGGTAAAAAGGAACTAACATAATTGTTGTACGTAAAAAGAATATGTAGCAGACGGCTGGATTCCTTTGTTTTTTTGTTTTGGGGCCATACCCAGGTGTACGCTGGGCTTACTCTTGGCTCTGGACTCAAGGATACGCCTGGAGGGCCCAGGGGACCATATGGGGTGCCAGGCATCAAATCCAGATCAGTCACATGTAAGGCAAGTCCCCTACCTGCTGTACAATCCCTCTGACACTGCCCCACCTTTATTTTTTGCAGTTCTAGTGGTCAAACCCAGGCTTCATATGCAAGGCAAGTGTTCCACTACTGAGTTATATCTCCGATCCAGCCCATCAAATTATTTACTAGCTTTAAGAATTCAATCAATTACTTTTCTAAATCTACCCTGAGGCTTCTGCGAAGGTTAAATAGTTAAGATAACATAATTATTTAGCAGTAAGTAAGTAACTTACTGCTACCCTTTCCTCAACTATAGAAACATCCAGAATACCACATTTCATTGGCTATTTAATAACAAAAAAAGTAAGATAGGTGATTTGCTGGGGGATTAAGTGAAAGAAAAAAAATTTAGCCAGACACAGCACAGGGTGCAGGTCAGTGTCTTGCATGCTGCCAGTCACAGTGCCATCCTTGGTACCACATTATACCCTGAGTATTGCATATCCCCCACAGGTCCCACAGCACTATGAGCTGTGGCCTGGGTAATCCCCCTGATCACTGCAGGACCCTAACACTGAAGTTCCAGCCAGTTGGCCAAGAATCACAGGGAGGGTCCTCCAGCCTCCTCTGATGTCTCCCTTCGTACTACCCCACTCCCGTGCTGCGAAAGAAAAAAAAGTTTAGATGTGGGGCCAGGGAGATAGCTCAGAGAGCTAAAGTGAATAATTTGCATGCATGCAGGAGCACCCGAACACTACGTGGATGGTTTACTCACCCCATCAAGAACACTTGGGAGTAACCAAAATATTGGGAAAAAAAGAAAAAGAAAAGGTTTTGCTGTAACAAGACTTTGAACATCTCAGAATGATATCAATACCTATTAGGACGCAAGGATTAATCATATTTTGAAATAGTACATCTAATACAACAGTGGCTAACAATTGGATTCTTTATCATTTTGGAAAAAGGGAGTTACACACATGAATAATCCGTGATGCCAAACTTGAGGAGTAAAAAAATTCCCAGTTTTAGGAGGGATGTCTCCTCGTTTTTGTTTAACCAACGCGAATAAAAAGCATCTGCTCCTTTACCAGCGAGTCCCATATTCAGAAAAAAAATTATCCACCTTTAGAAAAAAGCATTCAGGTGTGGAGCCGAAACTTCCAAATACACAGCCACTGTTTTCTGTCATGCATCTTCAACTCAATGGTGACATGTCCACTGTCCTGAGATGCTGTGGCAGGAATCCCAGGGTGAAATCAGCAGCATACATCTATGAACACTGTGTGGTGACAGTGACTGACAACCTCCAGACTCATAGCTCTGAGTGGTGGGCTTCTGCCTTCAACAAATCACTAGGTTTCATAAAGATGCCTTCCATGGCTTTCCAGTAGTTGTTCTGGCTTGGCTGGGCCATGCCATGTACCTCTTTTTGTCCACTGATGGGTCGACCATACTGTTCTCCTGTGACAGACAGCAAAACCTCGGTGGAAGAATGCTTGAACCTCACCTCACCATCCCTCACCCAGTAAGGCCCATTACAGAGCACTGTCCAGTCATCCAGATAATCACCTTCACCTTCCTCACCAAATGCACTCACTTCCTGGAAAACACAGAAAATAGCAACATTAGTACAGCTAACATATAGGTTTGGAAAAGGGAGAGAGGAAGGGAGGCAATGGGAAGAATGAGGCTTTCCAGTATTGTTTTTTAAATATAGGCTTGCTCTTCAAGCCCGTGTTCTCCCTTGAACACATATCTCCCCTGCTTGTCTCCATATGTCATTGCTTGCTTATTTCCATTCTGGAAAATGTACTTTTCCCTTTTTCTCTCTTCATACCTTTCTAAAAAGGTTCGAAACAAACTTTTGTACTACACACACACACACACACACACACACACACACAGACACACAGACACAGACACAGACACACACACACACACACACACACACACACACACACGGAGGCCAGAGCAATTAAGTGGGTAGGGCACTCGCCTTGCACACAGCGGATTTAAGTTTGATCCTCAGCACCACATATGGTTCCCCAAACCCTGCCAGGAGTGATCCCTGAGCACAGAGCCAGGAGAAAACCTTAAGCACTAATATTGTCCCCCAAAATAAATAAAATAATCCAATGCCCACTAGTGCACATGCCTCACAGGTATGAGGTCTTGGGTTTGTTCCCTGGCACTAAATAAGAAAAAAAGAAGAAAACATGGGGATAAAACACAAGTATACAAAATTAGTTGTAATATGATTGATCTAAACATTTTGCAAATAATCCTAGTTTCTTCTATAGTCTTAATATGCTTTATAACTTTTGTATTTATTTCTTGCCTCATTCCCTTTAAGATTTTTTTTTTGGTTTTGTTTTTATTTTGGGGCAACATCTGGCAATACTTAGAGGTAATTTCTAGCTCTGCACCTCAGAATTACTCCTGGTGGAGGGCAACAGGTCAAACTTGGGTTGGCCACATGCAAGGCAAGTGCCATACCTACTGTACTATAGCTACAGCCCACATTCCCTTTTAAAATTTTAAGTGACTTATGAGAAGTACAAGTTGAAAAGAAGACAGTCTCCAGGACAGGCAGACCTTGAATCTTACTCCATCTCTTCCTGCGTAATTTGTCTGATCCTTCATTTTCTCCTCTGTAAATTACTACAATCATATATACAGAATAATTTTTAAAGGGTTTTTTGTTTGTTTCTTTTTGTTTTTGGCAATGCCCAGCGATACTCAGGGGTTACTTTCTTGGCTCTGCACTCAGGAATCACTCCTGATCTCCTGATGGTACGTGATGAACCATATGGGATGTTGGGGATTGAACCCAGGCCAGTTTCATGCAACGGAAGTGCATGCCTTACCTGCTATACTACTGCTATGGCCCTAAAGGAAATATTAACTGAGCAAAAATATAGCAGATTCTACTGTCCAGTTTTTTTAACTTATTTTTTGTTTCATTCGGCCATACCAACGGTACAGGGATCACTCTTGGCAGGGCTTGGGGCCTGAAGCCAAGTCAGCCATGTACAAGGCAAGCATCCTACCCACTATACTATATATCTCTCCAGCCCTTCTTTTTTGAACCCCATTGGCTTTAAATATTCAGTTTTAATCACAGTGAAAAGAATTTGGGTTATTTCAGAATCTTTCTTTTTTGGTTATTGATCACACCCAACAGTGCTCAAGGGATCATATGATAGTACCAAGGATGTACAGCATGTGCTCAAGCCCTTTGTGCCATCTCCCAAGCACCAAAATATATTAAATATAGGGGCTGGAGCAATAGTACAGCGGGTAGAGCATTTGCCTTGCACGTGGCTGACCCGGGTTCAATCCCCAGCATCCCATATGGTCCCCTGAGCACCGCCAGGAGTAATTCCTGAGTGCAGAGCCAGGAGTAACCCCTGTGCGTCACTGGGTGTGACCCAAAAAGCAAAAAAAAATATATATATATGTATTAAATATACACAAATAGCTATATAATCTTATATTTCATTTATTCCCCTTATCTTTGTTGTTGGTACAATTATAACTATATCATTTTAAATATATTTAGTTATTTGAAGTTTAGATTTGGAGAAGGCCACTCCTATTGTGTTGCTTAAAGAGAGTATCATGCAATGCTGGAGATAGAACCTGGAGCTCCCATATGTATAGTATGCATTCTAGTCTTTTCAGCCATCTCCCCACCCAAAAAAAGCAGTCTTTGGGAAATAAAATAAAAGAGGAACCTAAGAAACTTATAATAAATTATGGACTTTGGCTTTTAGTAATGCATCATACTGCAACAAATTTACCATACTAATGTAGATATTAATAGTAAAAACTGGGCCGGGAAGATAGCTCAGCAGGCTAGAGTACATGTTCTAAATGCAGGAGCCCCTGGTTTGATTCTCAGTAATTCACAATCCTCTAAAGCCAACAGGAGTAACCCCTACATACTCGTCAAGACTAGCCCCCAAGTACCACCAGGTCTGGCCCTCCCCAAAAAATAATTTAAAATACAAAGTGGAGGTTGGAAGGAAACAGTCGTTAAGAGTTCAAATTCTTTAAACACTCAAAACTAGAGCTCAGAAACATGACTGCAGGGCGGGACAGGGATGCTTTGCATATAGACTTAGACTTTTCCCGCTTGGTCTCTGGCAGTGCATGATTTTTGGAGTAGCAGCAGATATGCCACTCTGCAAAAAAGCTCTTTTAAACCAAGGTTTACATCTAATTAACTTCCTAATTAGTTGTATTATGTTAGCTGGCATAAGTTTAAATATATTTATGTACTTATATTTTTAATTATGAGAAATGCTGAGTTTCTACATTGCAGAATTTGTTAGGATAAATTATGTTTTGCACACTTACACCTATACTTTCTTCCCCCTTTCTTGATTTGATCTAGATGTAAAGACTCAAAACACTGCTCAACCAAAAAACAATTTTCCTCCCACTTAAGAGAAAAAGTAATTTTTCCAATAAATGTGCACAAAAGAGTACATCTGCAACAGGAAAAGAAAAAGCTAACAAACAAGATCTCAAACAACTAACCTGACTAATGCAGCGTAACAATGATCATAGAATACCACTTTACCTGATTTCCAGAAAGAGGTGAGGTGAAGTGGTGACTGTGGAGGTTTCGGCCAGTGTTGACATGTGTCAAACGAATGGGTTGGCCACATCTGATAGGGGTTCCCCTCTCACAAACCGTGTCAGTCTTACCCCGAATCCTCCAATAACTGTTGCTGTCATCCACAGAGGTCACACCTGTCACTGACTGCTGCCCACTGCCTGCAGTCAAAAGAAAAAGAAAGAAAAAGAGTGGGTGAACTCAACTTGATTCTTTTCTTTCCTGTGGAAAATAACGTGCCCTGTGTCCTAAAATAAGTTGGGAAGGGTAAAGAGAAACACTGTGGTAATCTTTTCTAAAATACTAATCATATGGGGGTATGGTGCCGCCAGCAGGTCAATCTGTACCTGGGAGGCGAGTGCATCAGCAGCCTGATGGTGCCTTCAGACTTCCAGATACCCCAAAACTGCTGCTGTGCCTTTGGCCAGACCCCAAAAACTTGGGGCAAAGTTGACCAAGAAAGTAAACGGCCAAAAGTTAGGTATGTGGGAGACACACCCACAAACCACGTCCAGCTCAGCTATCTAATTGGAGGCATGGCCTCTCCGGTTCCTGATTGAACTGCTTACTGGCCATGATCCCAGAGACTCAGAAACAAATCTTGAAAGGCAGCAGCTTTTGGCAGAAATGCATCCGGTCCCTGCAGTAGGTTACAGGTGCTGGGCCAACCCAGGTGGGAATAGGTTTTGTGCCTTGGCCTCTTCCCCCTGGCAGCCCGGTGGCTGCCATCCTCCAGAGGCCACTGGACAATCCAGTTTGGGACCACAGTGATGAGACATGCAGGGCCTCACGGGTTGGGGGTGGAGCCGGTCCTGTCCTCCCCACGCCAGCGAGACCCCAAGTCATCACCCACAAACGGCCTCTCTGGCTTCTGATCAAGCTGCTTAATGGCCATGATCCCAGAGACTCAGAAACAAATCTCGAAACCCAGGGGCTTTTGGCAGAAATGTGTCCGGACCACGCAGTAGGTTACTGTCGCCAGGCAACCCCGGGGGGAAAGGGTGTTGTCCCTCCGCCTGCTTCCCCCTGGCAGCTCGGTGGCCGTCATCCTCCAGAGGCCACGGGACAGTCAGGTTTGGGCCCTCAGTGACGAGACACGCGGGGCCTTGTGGAATGGGGGTGGAGCCAGCCCTTTCCTCCCCACCCCAGAGACCCCGAGTCGCCGCCCATGAATGGCCTTTCTGGCTCCTGATCAAGCTGGTTAGCGGCCATGATCCCAGAGATTCAGGAGCAAATCTCGGAACCCAGCAGGTTTTGGCAGAAATCCCTCCAGATTTAAGGGTTAAAATTTCGGAATTTCAAAATCGTGCAGCCAGTACTGCAGCCACGCGAAATCATATATTATTCATAACCAGCAATAGAAAACAAATGGTCTACGGTTGCCTTTTCAGCAGATCTGAGTGTTGGGGTAAAATCTCAAATAATAATGGTGGGTCTGGTGTCAAAATATTGAATGTGATCAAAGTAGAGAGAGAGTAATGTGGAAATCATTTGCCCCACAGGTAGGGGGACGGTATGGGATGGGGGTATACTGGGGTTGTTGGGGGTGGAGAATGGGCACTGGTAAAAGTACGGGTGTTTCATTGTATGACTGAGACTTAGACCCAAAAGCTTTGTAACTGCTCTCACGGTGATTCAATAAATAAAATTATAAAAAATGAAAAAAAAAAAAGTAAGGTGGAGTTCATGCCCAATTCAATCAGCTAAGCAGTGGCTGAATACGTAGCAGTACTCCTAGATAAAACAAACAAATAAATAAATAAATTAAATAAAATTCTAAATCATATTTACCAGAAAAGTTCAAGAATTTGAACTAAAGAGCCCTAAATAAATGACCACATGAATATGTGATTTCTTTTGAAGCAGTGTTTTTTGTTTGTTTGTTTTTTTAACCTGTATCCAGTAGCTTCATAGCTCCCAGGTGTCTTTTGTTCAGTTTTGGTTTTTGAGGCATACCTCACCATGCTTCAGGGTCACCAGGGCCACACCTGGTTGTACTCAGGGGACATGTGGTCCCAGGGAACAAACAATCCAGGGTCTCACACATGAAAACCATGTGCTCTACCATGTACACCAAATGTCTGGCCTTAAAATAATTTCAGGGGCCGGAGTGATAGCACAGCGCGTAGGGCGTTTGCCTTGCACTCAGCCGACCCGGGTTCAATTCCCAGCATCCCATATGGTCCCCTGAGCACCGCCAGGAGTAATTCCTGAGTGCAGAACCAGGAGTAACCCGTGCATAGCCAGGTGTGACCCAAAATGAAAAGAAAAAAAAATAATTTCAACATGTAATACAATTACCAAGAGTGTTACCATAAAAAAATTTCACAATTAAGGACCAGGGATGTAGCTTATCAGTCTAAAACGTGCCAACATATGTGAGGCCCTGAGTTTGATACCAAGTACCATCCAAAAAAAAAAAAAGGGAAAAAAGAAAAATGAGGGGCTGGAAAGAGAGCACAGCAGGTAAGGCGTCTGCCTTGTATGTAGCCAATCTGGGTTTGATACCCTGCGGTCTGCCCAAGCACATCCAGGACAGTGATTCCTGAGTGCAAAGTCAGGAGTGACCCTGAGCATCACCATATGGCCCAAACCCCAAAACCCAAACCAAAAAGGATAGTATGAAGCTACAAATTTAAATACAAAAAGCATTGGGGCTAGGGGGGTGGCAGGGATGAGGCTCAGTGGCAGAGTACTTGCTTTGTTAAATATGAGATCCAGCATTTGATGCCCAACACCACATGGTCCTCCAGCCCTTCCAGAAGAGTCCCCCTATTAGGAGTAGCACTATTAGGAGTAGTCTAAAATCACAACCAAGTGTGTCCCCTCCCAAAAAAAAAAGAGAAAAAGAATATTTTGTTTGTTTGTTTTGGGGCCATACCTGGTGATGCTCAGGGCTTACTCCTGGCTCTGCAAGATCCCCAGAACATAGAGTCAGAAGCAGCTGCCAAGCACCACAAGGGATGGCCCAAAAGACAAAAATATAAATTAATCATGACCTAAACTTTCTATCTCCTGTTTTCACTTCCTGTTCAACACTTCACTTCCTCCCTTCTCCTTAAAATTTATATAGAGTTCTATTCCCTCACACTTATGCAGTTTTAAACATTTGTTTGAAGACAGGACAAAAGCATTTGTCTTGAATATATTTTTCAAATGAGCCAAACTGACACCTGACCAGGAACCACTGTTCACTCTGGACATTCTCCTTTACTCCTTTACTAGTGCTCTCTTCTCAATACTCAGTTCAGAAACAATCTCTTTTTGGAATTGCAAAATGAACCTGGTTCTCAAATGCAGCTTCCTATCAGAAAAAAAAAAAACACCCAAAGAGCTTTCATACCCTCAAATTCCTACTGCCAGACTCTCGATATCTACTGATTTAGTAGATCCAAGGTAGGATAAAATTATAAAATATTTAAGTCTGACACATAACAGATTTCGGAATTTGAACCATTAACCTCCAGATGGAAGAACTTTTTTCTCAGCTGTCAGCACTATCAGTCATTCAAACTAGAATCCTTTCAGTCATCTTAGCACACTGCCACATTTCACTAGAGGAATATTTTCCCTTCCTTTCAATGTTTGTTTTCCTCTAACTTGCTGACTGGGTTCACCATTGTAATTTCTTTATTCAATGCAATATGAAGGGCACTGTTGGAGTGCCTTAATCTGTGCTGAATGAATGAACCTGCAAACTAAAAATTTTAATTTAATACATTAAAAAGTCCCCTGAGGAGCCAGAGTTATAGGACAGCATTTGCCTTGCAATGCGGCTGATCCACGTTCCATTCCTGGCACTCTGTATGGCCCTAAAGCCCAGGCGGGTGTGATCTCTAATACTGGTGTGATGGGGTTGAGGTCCAGAAAACTGTAAACATGGAATTTGATCATGGCAGATTGTAAAGTTGGTTGCTATGCATAACTTTGTAAATTACAGTACCTCAGTAAAATAAAATTAAAAAAAAATAATAATAAAGTCCTCTGACAGGTTAAAAGTCCAATGAGTGTTTTCGTTTAAGTTCTGTAAGAGGAGATTAAGAGAAGGATAAAAAAAGGGATCTAAGAAAAAGAGTAAAAGAGCAAATGTAAAACACAAACGAGAGAAAAGTCATAAAAATCCAAAAGTGACCTTTTGTATTTTATACAAATACAAAGGACCTCAGGCTGGAGCGATAGCACAGCGGGTAGGGCGTTTGCCTTGTATGCGGCCTTCCTGGGTTCAGTTCCTCCACCCCTCTCAGAGAACCCAGCAAGCTATGGAGAGTATCCCACCACACGGCAGAGCCTGGCAAGCTCCCAGGGTAGTATTCGATATGCCAAAAAAAGTAACAAGTCTTACAATGGAGGCGTTACTGGTGCCCGCTGGAGTAAATCGATGAACAACGGGAGGACAGTGCTATACAAAGGACCTCAGAAACACAGCACTCTAACTCTACGAGTCTGCCTCCTGCACTGAGTAGTGAAAAGCATACTCTGACCAGATCTGAAGGGCACGCTGTCTATCATTTACTAAGCTACAAATCGCTCTGTAGATGCGACTTGAATTTGTGTCCGCCTCTGTGAAACAAAAACATTTTCTGCCTCTCAAGAATATAAAAAACCGCGAAGAGCATGCGTGTAATGTGCTTAGCACGTTGGTCACTAAACAGAAACCTCTATTACTCTTAAGGTGCCCTAGAACTCAATGCTGGACTCGCCGCCCAGGAGAACATTAGGAACCTCGGCCCAGCCCTCAGAACCGTCCCAGGCCACGCCCCCCAGATGTTCTCTAGGCCCCGCCCTCGGCGCCTACCAGGCCTTCCCAGACCCCCGAAGTCCAGCAGTACCTGACCCATAGCGCACGTCGTGTGAGTGCAGCCTCACGTTGTGGCGCGTATTGAGTAACTTCACCACAGAGCCGCAAGTAACGACAGCCAGACTGGACGTCTCCACAACACTCCACAAACCCCCGAACAAGAGAAGATGGGTCACAGCCATCGCGGCTAGCTCAACAAGACCCTAACTACTCGTCCAAGTAAACTTGGCTCCTCCCCGGAACCGGAAGCTACAAGTGGAACCATAGAGAGGAGGAAATGAAGACGTTCTAATCTGATCTTTATGGTTCCTTTGGCTAGAGCGGCTAAATGGCTCTTCCGAAACTTGCTAGGCCGATCGCTTCCGATCCCCTCATTCTGTTGTCCGCCTTCTGTGACAGCAGTGGCTATTGGAAACACTTCTAACACTTCTGACACTTTTCACACCCCCACCCCTGCTCACGAAGCCCTGAAGGACGGACCCAAAAGTGGAAGAAACGGCCCGCCCACTCCCAATGACAGGGAGCCGGAAGTGACGTATCACGTTGACGCAGCAGCGGCGGCGGCGGTGGCGGCGGAGGGGCCGTGCGGTGGGTCCGTACTAGCCTTTCCCAGTCTCGGTTCGACGCCTCCATTTTCCTCGGTAGGGGCATAGCGCACCGGAGAAGCAGCGCGCTTCTGGCAGGTAAAATTCGGGCTGGAAAAAGGTGTTCCTCGAAGTGGTCGATTGGGGACTCTGGCTCCTAGGGCCTGGTCCCGTAAGGGACGAGGCACAGGGGAGCCGAATGCGGGAAGGAGGCTCCCCCGCCGGCCTTCCTGGCGCTGTGAGGGAGGAGGACGAGGAGGAAAGCAAGATAGTTGCTGCGAAACTCAATACTTACCCCATCCTGTGCACCCGGAACCCGTGAACTAGAAGCGTGTGGTTTCAACAGGCTTCCTGAGATCCGGTTTTTCTTTCGCAGCCTCTGAAAATTGGGCCACGCCAAAGAATTGGGAGTGGAAAGCACCTAGGACTTCTGAGTCAGCATAAGGTGATCGAGTTGTTCTGGGAATGTAAAACCTTTGGGCTTTCAGCAGCTCGGCCATAAGGCAAATGGATGCTGCCAAATTCCATCTTCCTGTAGTCTTAGTATCAGAACTGCTATTAGATGGCTACATTTATCAGGTGCCACTCACAAACATCAGAGTAGGCTGTTAGTCAAAACTCTATTTCTTCCCGTTTCTGCTGTTCTCTCTTAAACCAGTTGGAGCAGTTCATAACCTGGGGCTGTCGGAAAAACTGATCATTTTCTTTAAGAGGATTCCTACTCCGAAGATTCATCCATGGAAATTCACTATAACTAACGTAATATCAAGGAAGTAGAAGTTAAACCCTTGTAATTAGTTAACACAGAGAGTATAAGCAGTACTGAATTTTAACTTTTTTTGGGGGGAGGGGGACTTAGTTCGACTGTTTTTCTTAAAACTATTTTAAAAAATTTTTTCAGTCTATCAACTATAAAATTATAACTACTCTTCATCAACTGTGAATTCAGCTTTCATAACTTCAGCCCTAATGAATCCATTTTTACCTTTCTGCTTGTGTGGCTAAGAAATTAGATGAGTGTAGTATTGTTACTCCTTACAAGATTTTTGCCTCTGGAGGTTGATCATATCAGGAAATGATGGATCCTACACTTCTCCCTCAGTCAACTTTCACATGAAAGAAAACTGACTTGGTATGGTGGAAACATGGTCCTCCGAGGCCAATAAATTTGCCCTGGCCCTTATAGTGTTGGTTTCCATAAATCACACAACAGTCAGGATTTTATGTATAATCCTTGGGCTTTTCCTCTCCATTAATCCTCAATAAAAACTGCCAGATCCTTCCCCTCCATAAAAATTTGTTATCAAAATAAGTTGGTTTTTGTTTCGTTGTTTTGTTTTTTTTGGGGGGGGAGCCACACCCAGTTGCTCAGGGCTCAGTCCTGGCACAGGGATCTCACTCCTGGCACGGCTCTGGGGACCATATGAGATGCCAGGGGACTAAGCCTGATTTAGCACCTGGGTCAGCCGTGGGCAAGGCAAGAGCCCTACATGCTGTACTATCTCTCCAGCCCAGCATAAATTGTTTTGATATTCCTCACATCCCCCTCCATATCACGCCCCTTTTATACTTTTCCTTCATAGCCAGATTTCCACCTTTTTCTGTTTTAATCACTCTTCAGTCTGTCTTCTAAATACTTTATTGAGAATTTTTGGGGGGAGAGGGGAATGAGGCCAGTCCAGCATGCCCAGGGATTACTCCTGGCAGTGCTTGGGGGACCATATGTAATGCTGGGGATCTAACCCAGATAGGGGGCCCTACCCCCTGTTCTATCATCCCAACCTTTTCATTGAAATTTTTCTTAAGTTACCAGTGACTACTTTGTTGCCAGATCCCATGGATACTTTGTTTAAATCTTCCTCAGTTTCTGCAATGTCCTAGTTGACACCTTTCTTGAATCTTTATTTTGGTTATGTTCCTGTCTCACTCGGCCTTTTTGGTCTCCTTTGCTAGCTCACTGTTTTGGAGGGGAGTTATGATTATGGTCTTGGAGGCTATACACAGTATTTTTCAGGGGATATTCCTGACTCTGCTCAAGGGTCACTCCTGGAAGGGCTCAGGGATAAGTGGTGTAAAAAGTCAAACCAAGGTAAACCACATGCACAGCAAGTGACTAAACCCACCTTTTCTCTCTATCTGGCTTCTGAACGTTTAATTTTTTTTTCAGAATATACAAAATTTTGCACATGCTTCCTTTTGGTGATCTAGCTTTAATGGCTTAAAATTAAAGCCATTAAACCACGCAATTCCCAAATTTAAATATGTAGCCCTATGCTCTCTCCCGTGTGCCAGAATCATCCATCAGACTGCCTGTTTTGTTTATTTTTGTTTACTTGTAATAAGGGTCACAACAGACAGTTCTCATTCAACTTGAAACTTCACACATGGTAGGCTGTCCTCTACCTTCACCTGTCTCCTAGTCCTGAATGTCTTTTAATAGCTTCATTTGGTTTGGGGGTTTTGCAGTGGTTTTTTGTTGTTGTTGTTAATGTTCCAATCCTGATCTTTTTATTATCTCACTAACTCATCCTTTTGTTGTTGTTGTTATTAAGATATACCCCATGATGCTCAGGGGTAACTCAGGAATTATTCCTGGCAGTGCTTGGGGAACCATGTAGGATACCTGAGATCAAATTCACGTCCAAGTACAAGTGCCCTATCTACTATACTATCAGTCCATCCCCTAAGGACCAGTACTTTTTGTTTGTTTTGAGGTCACACCTCTTAATGCTCAGGACTTATTCCTGCCTCTGCGCTCAGGAATTTCTCCTGGAGATGCAGCAGGGATTATGTGGAGTGCTGAAGATGGAACCCCAGGTTTGTCAAGTGCAAGGCAAACATCCTACTTGTTGTACTGTCTCACCAGCCCTGTAAATCATAATCTTATCCGCATGCACAAAGCCAGACTCTGGGAATAATCATGGAGATTTTTCCCTTACTGCTCTCCGCAGTAAGACCTACCACTTCTGCCTTCAGAGTATATTTTAGCTAAATATTTCTCCATAAGCCACTAACTACTACAGTAGTATCTGGTTTTCCCTGCTTCCACTGTGATTCTCCTCCAGACTTTTTCTACATAGCAGGATCAGGTCAGTTCAGATGTAATTTCCCTGCTTAAAATATGCCATTTCTTGAGGTTATAGAGCTAGGATGTGTCTTAAGTAGTAAAGTACTTGCTTTGTAGGTACAAGATTTGGGCCTCAGTGAAAGCAAAATGAAAGAATACAGGGAAGAGAATTTGTGTCTTATACATGCCTGGCATATGATAAGCACTCATTAAATAAGTATTTGTTGAGAGGCCAGAAAGATAGTACAGTGGGTAGGTCACTTGCCTTGCACACAGCTAGCTTGGGTTCAAACCCCAGCATCCCATATGGTCTCCCAAACCCACCAAGAATGATCCCTGAACACAGAGCCAGGAGTAAGCCCTGAGCACTATTGGGTGTGATTCCCTAAAAATAAAATAGATATTGGTTAAATGAAATGAAAGTAAATGAAACCAACTCTCTGATGATAATTCTGCAGTGATTTCCTTCCTAGCCATCTCTGCTCCCTTTTTTTTTTTTTTAATTCTTAGGGCTTCACACATGCAAGACAAGTGTTCTACCACTGTACTACATCCCAGACCCTTTCCTGTCTAATTTAGGATAGATTTTTAGTTATTTTGGCTTTTGGACCATGTTCAGTGGTGCTCAGACTTAAGCCTGGCTCTGTGCTCAGGGGACTATCTTTGGTGCCAGTGATCAAACCTGGTTCAGCCATGTGCAAGGCAAACACATTAAACCATGTACTTTCCAGACAGGTTAGAATTTTAAATCTTCTTTTTTTTTTTTGTCTATAGAAACCCTTAGTACTTCACCCTCCAGTCAAACTAATCCTCTCTGAGGTCAGAGGGAGAGTACATGGGCTAAGATGCTTACCTGACATGAAGCTGAACCTGTTCAGTAACCAGCACCGCCTTTGGTCTCCTAAGCACTGCCATGTATAGCCCAAACTCTCATTGCCACAGAGCATGTGGGCTTGGTGCAGCTCAGGATCTTCTCTAGCACTCTAAACACCACCACATCTATGACAGTTCCTCCACTAAATTAGTTTCTCCTCTCTCTTACGGTCTTTATTTAACGTCACTGATTGAAAACTAAATCAGTGTTCTCAGTTGCAGGCTTCTGTAGTATCTTTGTCATCTTTGAAGACCTGCTATACTTCTTGTTTAGGGGGTCACTGAAGTAAGGCTCCTGGGGATAAATTAGGCCACTCTGTTCTCATTTACCAATTATCTGCTTCGTATCCCAGTGGCATATTTCATCCTCTGAAGTTCTCAGTCCGCATTTGGGCAGAGACCATGTGTTCCTCTATGTGAGCAGCACAGAGCTTAGTGACTGTCACTCCCTCTGTGGTTTGCAAGAGCTTATATCCGGTTATATAGAGTAAGTTCTCACTGTCTTTGATGTTTGATGATAGCGTCTTGGAAATGCAGCTTCAAACGAAAATTGTGTGCATTGAAACCAATATTTTATATAATGTAAGTCATGACATTCAACATTAGCAGCGATTTCTTTTTTCTCACTATTGTGTTTTTGTTTTGGGTACACACCTGACGATGCTTGGGTTGTTCTGGCTCTGCACTCAGGAATCACTCCTGGAATGCTTGGAGGAATAGGATGCTGGGGATCG